AAAAGTTAAATGTAATTTAAAAAAGCAGATAACGTTACTACCGTAACACGACCAACAAAGCAGAAAGAAAATGTTAACAGTAAGTAAATATTTATGATCATCATAAAAATGTCCTTAGTTATACCAAGGGTCAAATTTTGAACCTCCATTGTTATACATAACATAGTTATTTGTGTTGTATGCTTACAATTAAGAACACAACTTTTCAAACCCTTGCCAAGGGGTACGGGAAATTTTGTTATCAATCGTATGTGGCATACCCTAATCAACTTGAAGAAGTATCCACTTAATTTTCAAGCGCACAATGCTGTAAATGAAAAATAAATTCTCACTAATACATACAAGAACTATCCTTATTAATTACTTAGTAATAATCTTTATTTGCTAAGTTATGCCAAAAGGTTACTTGCTTTTACAGAGTCAAAGATACAATACAACAATAGGGAACAGACAACTACTGTCTGGAAAAACTTATACTCCTACTACTACGCTTGAGGTTTGACTTCTTATTTGAAGGCAGTGGATATTGAGTAGTCCCACGCTCTGCATTATGAATGGGTTTTGCGATTTTAGTAGGAACACAGTCTTTTTGTTATCTTCTAGGTGATGGAAGGATGGTTACCCAGCAACTGATCGGCATGTTGGAGAACCCGGATGTGTTCGGTTTCCATGGCGACCGTCAGAGGAAGCCGTGTGTTCGGTGTGCAGTGGTGGGGACAGGAGGGGTCCTGAGTGGGTCAAACAAGGGAGCAGAGATAGACGCGCACGACTATGTCTTCAGGTAAAAGACATTACAAATTTGATTTAACAGCTTTAAGGTACATGGAAAGCAATAGTTACATCATGTGCAATAGTTACCACATATGTGTCTCTGTACAAGAACATCAACGCAGAAACAGAAGATGTCATATAGACTCCATATTTTCTAGAGTGAACCATGCTGTCATGGACAAGCCATTTGATAAGGATGTCGGGAAAAAGCTGTCCTTCTATATCTTCTATCCGGAGTCACATAGTCGGCAAAACAAGCTCGTTGCCAGCGCGGTAAGTTCCATACTTCATGACGTATACCTATTTTCACATGTTTTAATTACTTTTGTGCCCTAAATATGTTTTACAACCTCAAAGTAGTCTTCTAGCTGTTGACTTGGAATCTAGAGGTTCTAGATTCGAATCCCTACCAGGCGCCAATGTTGTGCCCTTTTGGAAAGTCTCTCTACTGAGCCTATCCTCACCCCACTCAGGTGAAAATGAGTGGCAATGGTTGTCGTTTTGGATGGGACATAAATCCGATGCCACATCTTGAGGAGACCCACATCTAGATCATATGCCCTAGCTGGTGTGTTTCGCCAAAGGGCGGTTATACCGGCTTTACAGATACAGACAGATACAGATATTCACGTTGAAGATTCAATAACAGTAGAGTAGGGGTCCATCTCTGTGTTTAGTGGATCTTACAGCTGTCTGATCTTACGCAACTTGTAGTTAATGTCAAAAGGAGTGAGGAGACTAGTTTTGGAAACAAACAGGTCACACTCCTTACTACTCCGTTTACGTGCAAGATATAAGTCATTTCTTTCACACTGTGATTTGAAATGAGAAACAATGTGAAGTCTTTCCTACTTTCAGCATGCATTGCAGATCTACATTCCTTTCAAGACGACAGACCTGCCCTATATCACACAATGGCTGTACAACCGGACCCTTCCAAAGTGTGGCGTACCGTAAGTTAATGTAGTAACAAATTGATAAAGAGAAAGGCTGAGTTTGTTAGATTCTTTATGAAGTTATAGATATAAGTTAATAGTATATAGGAATTGGAGAAACACAGTGGTAGTTCTTAGCCACAACAGCCGCTAAGCTTAGAGAGCAACAGCCTGCCAAGAGCTTCACACCAGAACACCCTGTTTCGTTCAGAGTGACCATCAAACCTTAGAACAAATATTACAGTGTCCCGAAGTAACCAGTCTTTTTCCTTAAAAGCAAAACGGAATAAAAGAATAGAATATAGAAACGTTTTAGTGTGTGACTGTGTGTTGTTACTAATTAAAATCCGAGGACAAAAGGTGCATTTAAACATCTTTAGGTGGTGTGAAAGTCCTCTCAACGCTAACGTCAACCGCTCAACAACGAAAGTTGTGCATCCTGACTTCATCCGTTACGTCTTTGTGAACTACATGGACACGTCACTGTCTCTTCGACCAACCACGGGGGCGATGACAGTGTTCCTGGCTATCCAACTGTGTGACGTTGTGAACATCTACGGATTTGGTTATGACCCACGGTAAGGGCTATTTTATGTCCCTGTAAACCTGCAGTACCCAGGATGTTACATAGGTCCAGTTAGTGACTCTGGATCTGATTGTCAACAGAGACTCCGATCAGGATGCTTGCTGTTAATGTGTTAGGGTCGTTTCCTCTTAAAAATCCCACATTTCAATCAATGCATTGGTCAATGAAGTGAAATGAATCAACGTTGAAAAAGTTCTGACTGTCTTTTGAGCGAATATCTTAAACTTTACATACTCCATTCGGGATCTCTGCCCAATTGGAGTATGTTGAATCGGTAGACCGTAGTTTCTGTTGGAAGAGACTCTGATCGGGATCTACACTGGTTTTTATATATAGAATCGCCGATTCTACCAGATCGATCAGGTGGAATTGATACCAGGTGTAATTATAATTGTGAACCATGATAACCCACTACTATAGAACCAACACACAAAGTACACGTTCCTACAGATTCAATGAGCACTACTACGACCACCAGAAGGTTGCCGCTCAGGGGGCGGACGGAGACATGAAGGCGGATTACCATGACTTCAGTGAGGAGAGGCGTCTGTGGCAGAGACTGCAGGAGGAGAAGATCATCACCTGGCACAACCGTCAGGACAGTCCCAACTCTGCAGTACCATAACAAGACGGCAGGGGACCCCGATTCTAATCATGTTAAGGCCCCTTTAAGACCTACCCACATAACAAATATTAAGTCTATCCACCCAGGCATTCCAAAGTTATCGTGTTCACGCACGCACACACACACACACACACACACACACACACACATACACAGAGAGAGAGAGAGAGAGAGAGAGAAACACGAGCATAAAATGGTGGCAAAGATTTAACGTTTTTAAAGCACAAAAGACAATCAAGATATTTGTTTGTACATCTTTATTCTATTATGCCTTGCTCACATATCTATGATGACATATTTGGTCATAGTAAACTTAGGTTGCAACTTGCAAGCAACATTCTTTATAACTCTACAGGTTACAGCTGTATATACCTTATACAATGGTGAAGACAACTCTTTATTATTCAAATAGTAGACCTTGTCGAAATATCTAGCGACATTTCAACTCTCCTGTTGTGTCCGGTAAACCGACTTCACAGTGTAGTAAAGTACTCTGAGAATGTCCAGGACTGAGAGGCAGTTCTGGTGCAGTTGTTGAGGAACGCTCTCGTTCCTGAAGTGGCGTTTTGTCCCACGTCCAAGCAGAGTCCTGTCTGGGTGTTTAGAAGTAACCCGCCCTGTGGTAAAAGGAATGTTATATATGCCTATGTTTATATATAGTATGTTATGTGACGCTAGACTTAAAAACATTTCATGGTCTATCGGGAAGAATTTGTCAATTCAAGGTTAAGTTTACAGTTACTGTATCATTTGACTTCTTGTGTTAGAGAGAAAAGACTTGAATAGAAAAGCGTGAAAATGTACAAAAAGAGGAAACAGATAAAGTCCAAAAGAAACGCGGCTCTCACCTTGCCGTTTTTGCCGTCGTGGTACCAACTCTCGTGCAGTCCGGTGTTACAGTACTTGATGATGGACACCTCTAGCCTCGCGGTGCCCTGGGTTCCCATACAATACATATCTCCCGTCCCTATGGTCTGCATCGATTTTCCCTTTTCCGGCCTTCGCAGGGCGAAAAACTAGATAAAGCATAAAAAAGCAAGATAAAGCACATCTGTTATGATTCTCCTATATTTTCAAGTTGATCAGTAATGTGTCAGTGTGTCTGGGTCGGTTTGTATGAACTGGGGTCCAACACAGATAACTTTCATGCTATGATATACGTATATCATAGCATGAAAGTTAACTGTGCTGTCATTATGAAGTAAGTACCAGCCTACCTGCTGACCACCCTGGCCGTGACAGTCCCACAGTCCTACTCCACGTCCGTCCATCATGTCTAGACACAGGTTAGTCTGGACGTTCCGAAGCTGCGCGATAAAAGGGAGGGGAATTATAAGGTTAGAAGTTAGCCTGGAATCCAGCCTTGTCCGCTACCAACGGTCGCTTCCCCGAGGACTGGATTCCAGACTAGGATTCAAGTGTGTCGTTTTTGGTCATAAACATAGATCAATCATGTAACGTTAACGTTGAGTCATGATGTGTGTATGGATGTAACAGACAGGACATGACATACTAGTATCAGATTCTTTCACAAGCGGCCAGTTTGAACTTTTTATTGAGACGCTCAAATCAGCCTGCAGGCCGCTTTTGATTGAGATCATGAGAGAAGAGGTAAGGGTCAGGCAAAATACTATAACAAAGATGCAGTTTACATCATGGGAAAATAAAATGCCAACATGCCGTACCTCGCCCCAGGCCCTGAAGAAGCCATTTTCCACAGTCTGCTCCAGTCTGTCCGGGTACACATTCTCCATGTACCACTGGAAACTCTTACAACCAAGACGCTTCCGCAACGCCTGCCGCTCACTGATGTCTCCGTAGGAAATGTTCTGGAAAACGACCAGCAATTTTAATAAAGATAGTTAATATATACAATATATACAAACGTATACACGTTTATGCCCTAGCTTCGTCTGTATATGGAACTTTAAGTTGTGACCGTTTCAACGGTAAGTAAGCGGACAAATGTAACATTGCCATCGGCATGCTGGACTGCAAAAACGGCATATAATCACCTAAGAGCACAACATACCCATCAACGCTACATAATGAGAGGAAGTCGAAAGTACTTGTGAATACTAGAAGTATAATCACCTATATAGATTCTCTCTCACACACAACATGTGACCTGTGCTTAGCCCAGTTGGGCAAAAATGTACAATAAAGGTCTTATAACAACAGTTGAGTACCTTGAGGTGGGGTTCTCTAGCGTACAGGTATCTTTTGTACTGATCCATCCACACCTCGGCCACGCGAGCCTTGTTGACTTCTATGTTGATGTCCTTAGTAGCGTTAGACCGGATGTACAGGTAGGGCTTGTCTGTCCTCTCGATGTGTCCCACACGGGAACACGGTACCGTCTCAATCCGACCTCCGCACTGCCACACCTGGGGTAGACATGGTTCAACGTCAAATGAAAACAAAATGCCATGGTCTTGGTGGTGATTTAGTCTTTCCTATCTACTGAACTTTATTAATTCTAGGGAACACTTACACACGTATTTCGACAAATTTGCAGTATTCACTTCTGGAGATCACTGCATCTAAGCCTGCACAATCACTACACCAACGTCTTCCGTCCACGGTACTAAAACATCGTCTTTATTTATAGACAAGTTGTTTGCTGCTGAATATCATCCACATTGACGTGTACATGTGTATGTATCTCTTAACACTTATGTGACTCTCATACGGTACCCCTGGCTCATCCTTCACATGCATGTAGGTAGAACTTATCGCACTCGGGGCCCTTTGAGTCGGCCAAGAACAATATGTCCTGGTTACTGATACTGATAAATAATGCAAATTAGAGATATTCAGGGATATTTGGAAAGTGCTTTACTGCATGCTCTTACCCTAAAAGACATTTCGACGTTTTCTCCCCCGTATATCTCCATGGCCGGATCGTAGGCTCCGATGTGTTGGAAGTAATCTTTGTAGATGGCGAAGAGCCCGCCTGCCATAACAGGGCATCTACAAGAGAGCAGGAAGAGGAAGAAACAGCGTTTTCAAAAGTTCACATCTTCATCATTCTTGGAGGCGATGTTAAGGTACCTTCATTGTCGTAATGAGACTAGGAATTTCATCAACCAACCAGAAAAAGGACCTCTCTTTGGCTTCAGTGCCAGTAACAGTTTGACGTTGACGCATATATACAGTTCAGTTAGGTACTATTTGATTTCTGGTTTAACATCTAATGCTGATTGGTCTAACCCACATATCTACATAATGTAGTATGATAATTTACTAGGCTTCCATATCTCCCGTTCAACAGACCTTACATTTTTGCACCTATTTAATCTATTTTTGAAGTTGTTGAATTCTTACAATCAACATTAATAAACAAATGAGTAGTGTAGCAAGCACTTGCCTTACTGGAACTATGGCTGATTTTCGTCTCGCCATTTCTTCTTTGTTGACGTATATCCACATGAAGTTGAGATCCCAGGTGAATCCACCGGCCAGAAACTTCAGCTTTTCGTAGGCAAATGTTTGGGTATCAATGTGGTCAATGACTGGACACGCCACGGTGCTGTTGTTGTCTCGTATACGAGCCAGCAAAGGCTCCAACCTGGAAAAAACATGTCAGGTTTAGACCTAACAAGCTGGCAGAACCTCCGATTCTAACGGAAGAGATCCCGACCGGGGCCCGGTGGGAGTCCGGTCGGGATGTCTCCGGTAGAATAGGCGTTGGCATTCCAATTAGATTTTTTTAAATTTTATGACATTCGCTTTCAATAGACAGACCTTTTCAATTTTAAAAGGTACTTCAAATTAATGTATTGACATGGAGTTGAGGATTATAGATTGAAGATCACCCTGACACATTTCCAGCATCGGCGTTTTGTGATAAAGTACAACAATTCAGCCTCTTACCACCCAGGCGTGCACTCGATGTGCGAGTCCAGGAAGACGACAGCCGGACCCTGGGCCTGCTGCACCCCTTCAGACGGGACCGGATCAAACCCTCCCGTTTGGTGTTCCTCAGGATCTTTACTTTGTCCCGCAGTTTGGTGTTGGTCGAGATTTGGGCTTCCAGAGGAAACATTAAGTCGGCTACGGAGAAAGATAAAGGTTCAACCCTCACAGAATTTGGTTTTGCCACATGGTAATGTTTTTGATACATTAGAACTACTTCCTGTGATCAAAGGGCATGAGATAAAAGACGGTGTTATCCTCGGTGTTATCATCTTAAGATATAGCTATTCATTTGTTTTAAGTTATTTACTTCATTACATATATGGAGGTACAAACTCCATGTCGCAAGGAACGTTACTTTTGAGACTGTCAACTCCGCTGGCAGCAAACGCCAGATGCCTGTCTGATGCATCTAAAATAACAAGCAGAAAGTTGAACACATTATCAGTGGGCCAAAGAAGGTACAAATATGCTTCTCACGTTTGTCGCTGAAGTCGTCCACCAGGATGATTTCCCTGATGAGGTGCGGAGGAGACTGGTTCATGACGCTGTGGACAGACCGGAGCACCACGGACAGAGCCTCGTTATAGAAGATCATCACAACCGACACCTGGGGCAGGTCGTCCGGGTAATCTTCCTGCAGACACCTGAAGCATGATACATGATAAGAATGCATTCAATGCATAAAAAATGTCAGCCAAAGAATATGCTTAATTATATATAAACAAGGGCAAGGGACACTTGTTGGGCCAACTATATCCTGTGTGTTAGATGAGATTCTATATGTAGATATCCTGTCAAAATTACTTCGTCGATCACTGTATGTCTATCTGCCGTAGAGGTACCCTGGGTGCCAGACTAGTATCGGACCTTTAACCATTTTCCTTCGGCAGCCAAGAGCCATTCGCCGGCCCTACGTCTAGGCCCAAACTCCCCCCGGGCTCAACTCCCCCGTAACGGTAATTTAGATTGGCGGGCGAAGGGCTCTTGGTTGCCGAAGGAAAACGGCTAACGACCCGATACCAGTCTGGCACCCAGGGTATACCGTACAGTAAGGAAACGAACTACATCAAGTCTTGTCCCTAAACATTGTAGTTAGAAGATGAATAAAGGGATATAAAAGTAGAATTACAGTTTGTTCCGCTGATCCGGAATCTTCCTGTCCAGGCTGATGACGTCGCTGACCAGGACGCTGTACCCGTACAGGTTGTGCAGCTGCTCCGCTGCCTGACGCGTGTCCTGCCCGTGGATGTACAGGGCTTTGCCGTTCTCTCCCGGACCGACGGGGACTGTCACCACGCGTGGGGGTGCTCTATCAGGAGGAACAAAGGTCAACGAGTTGTCCCAGTGTGGCAGCCATCGTCCTGATCTGCTTATCTTATGTTCACATTTGATTTGCAGCAAGTACGAAATTCACGTCATTCACCAATATCATATTATTATACAATTTTCTTTTCTCAATATAATTTACGCAAATTAGATCCTGATATTAAGGATACATTCCTGTGGACATTACAAGAATTCCTGCACTGCACATTTTCCAGAAGTCTTCCAAACTACTCACATACTATATAAACAGGCTCCTTCCCTGAGGCGTCGCCAAAATTTTACGGCAAGCGTTCTTATTATCAAAATAAGGCAAAGATGGTGTAGCTGCTGGTTAGCGTGGTATTTTCTGTAAATAAAAGGCTAAAAGACTACCTTCTTTTTACAGTTTGAGTATCAGTCTGTGCATTACTACAAGGGGGTGAAGAACTTACCTACGATCCAACTGAAACATGTCATTTTCAGCCTGCACAGCCTCCTGTTTCAGCCTTCTATTAAGTCGATCAACTTCTCTGTCGCGTAAAAAAGAGTCCTGGCGAGCAATCAGGGCTGCACTTCTATTCCTGTCTTCTTTCGCGAGGTCTTCTAGTCTGTTCACTTTGGATAAAACTTCTTTTAAGACCAAACTAAGGTTATTTACTTCACTTTGAGAGGTTGTTCTATCCTCGTCTTGCTCTCTCAACCGAAGTCGTCTGAACCCCGTGCTCGGGTTGTTTGTAGCTGAGGTAAGACGGACAGTTACTGGGGTTTGCTCGTGTTCTGTGTTTTCTGGGACGAGTCTGCGGCTGTCCTGGACTCTCTGTTGGTCGGATTGTGGACACTGATGAAAGCCGAGGATTCCCAGCTCCAACAGCGCGTACAGTCCGAGCACAGACAGCAGGACCGCCAGAATCCGGACCCTCCCGCCGCTCGGGCGCATCCTGGTGGCTCAGTTTCACCTCTGTTCTTTTCTTCCTATGAAGTAAAACAGGGCAACAGTTAAGAATTCTTCTTCTATTCCGAGAGTTAGGGAAAATGTTCCTTCACGTGAGGGCAGTGCATAGATGACATTTTTTGATGATTTGGCAACCAAGGAAACTTAAACCAACAAAGACGTTCTGTTCCTTACCTTTTCTGGAGGATCACATACAGCAGAGAATTTAGAGATATGACTATCTTGATTCAATTTGATTGCTTGACATCTCTAATATACACCGCCCTTGTGAATGTTCAGATTTGCAACCATTTTGTTTGATATCACAATTACGGCTTTCTCTCTTCCCCAGGCGGACCTTGCGAAGCCATGGCTTCTCTGTCAACTACAACATCCTATTTGCTGATATTTTAAGCAAACAAAATTGTGACGTCATAGCTTTCACTTGGATCAAAGGGTGCCACCAGGTCGTGTGCACTTGTTTGCCCCATATTCAAGACACCACAGACACACCTTACACACAATATCTACTGCGATCGCTGAGCCAGCAAATGTCTTACAGATCGCTCAGCGACTTTCCTGGACAGTGAACGACGTTCTTAACGTATTGTGTGTTTTGTTTTCTTTCAAATCATACTTTTGCATCGTGAATTATATTCCAATTATACAATCAAGGGTCAGACAAGTTCAATTTTTCAGTCGCCTATAGTGGACAGGCGGGGTCTTGACGTTCAAATGTTGCCTGGTTACCGATAGAACCAGCAGACATCCTATCAACTGTGTCATTTACGTGTAACACACCCTGTTGTTGCCGCCCGTGTGCAAATATGCCTATCACTCCTGGCAGATTAGCGATTGTTTCATCATGGCTTGTGTGCTAAGTAATTAGAACATGTCGAATGTGTATAATGGCTGACAAAACTTGTGATTGAAGAAACAGAGATTATAAATAATTCCCACCCGGACACAGATAGAGGAAAGGCTTATCATCATTTCTAGTATTCAAGACATACTTTATCAACTGATGAAGTTCCTGCAAATTCTCACGAAAATCAAATATGTATGCCATTCCATGAGTGTGTTCAGTAGTAAGACATATGAAGGAATATGGTTAGTTATGGTAACGTGGGAAACTCTCTTTATAATCATAATCCTTTGTTGTCAGCTTATTAATCCTCCTCCCGTACCACTCAATCACAATAATACACCGATGCGGACATGTGACATGTTTCTATACGCCTGTGCCTTTCCTCGGTATGAGAATAAAACAGACTGCCCCAGGGTCAAAAACGGAATTCACGATTTGAACCCCCTTCCCAATAGACGTCGATCATAGGCTGAGCGACCGTCTGGCGGCCAAAACTGGATTGTGTGATTTTATAATTGATGATGCAGGATGTTTAATCATGATTTAAGGGGCAACAAAAGTTGGAAGAAAACTTTTTATGTATGAAATTCGTTCGTCGATCTTGCAAATTTTTGGTCGTTCAGCGGTCAGAGGAAGTTATTGCAAATGTGATCCTACTTTCTGAAGAACCGACGTCGACGGCTGAAAATACACAGCAGTAACGCAAAACGTTTTCCTCTCATGTTGTGTACGTAGTTATGCTTTCCCATTTTTTTTATCCCATATGAGTGATCGTTCATGATTTTGCGGATATACTCGTATAAGGTTCTTGGCAAGAACTGTCACCCTTCTTGCAATGGAAGCTATCCGACATTTAAGACATATTTTGCCTTTTTAGCCTGGTGACACATTTTGGGCTAGGATGCATGTCAAGGTTGACTGTCAGCTAAAATGTGCGTTTCTGGAGTCACCTCGCCAATTTTTATTCTAAATAGTACCCAGCCTGTGCATATAGGCAGGTAGGCATAGTGCGATCGCCATGACGTCACGGCCAGTGAGTACTACGGTAACACATTGGGAGGACTCGAGGATATGGTCAACTGATATGACGATCTATTTACATAATCAATAAGAAGCATTCATAATTTGTCAGCCATAAAGGTTAACATCAATTGGCGACGTCAGCTTTCAAAAATAGCGGTAATATCGCTGAATATTGACAGCCACCCATGGTAGCGCAATGCCGCATAGACCACTGCCTAGATTTGTGGATTTTCATGCAAACTGTGGCGGAATCAACTCCAGAAAGGATCTAAAGACGGCCTTTTGGGCAACAAGACAGCTGCATGCATTGTACAGGACCGTGACACGCACTATCCCAAGACTGACCTCAGTTTACCATCATACAACGATCGTGTATATACACGACGTATGTGACTGGTCCGTAAACAACTGACCAAAACCTACCTTTCATCTTGGTTGATGGCTTCCTCTGCGACCCGTAATATATCACAGGCGAAACCGTGAAGTCTATTGCCTGTAGTGAATACAGTTGTAAGGATACACGACTGAAGGCCAAGTCTATAAAGCTTTATGGGATATTGTGTCCGTTCCCAGCGAGCTACAGTTCTGATAACCTGCGGTGGACTTTGAATTGAACGCGTGTGGACATTGTGGATAATGTTTCACCACAGTTTGAACAACTCTGGCCTTTGTCGACGTGTCGACGCCGTTTTTAATCGAAGCGATTCGGTCACCGTGTTTGCTCTAATGGCAGGCAGGGTTTAGCGCAAGCCTGTTTTAGCGCTAGCCGATCGACTTCTTTTTTACTTGGTTTCTCGGGTCTCAGAAACTCATAAGGAGCAATGGGGATGTACGTATAACACGTTACTAGTTTGCGAGCTAAAAGATCAAGTTGTTCAGCTGCTGATTGAGTCCGCAAAAACGGTCCGAGCTAAATGAATGCAAACTTGATAAAATTTAAAAATACACAAATTTGACGGACATGAATTCACCCTCTTATTTGCCAATTTTCATGGACAGTGGGAATCGTCTATTGCTCTTTGAACTACTGTAAGTTTTATTTGCATTTATTATTTGCCGAATTATTTGCGAGGCAATGGGATATGTCTTTTTGGAAGAAAATTCGACTTGGGAAAAAAAGCTGCTAATAGATAAGGCCTATCCTTATACTAAGCTATCGGAATTCATAAAGTAGTGCTCTTAAAGATTACGTTATCTCTTATGCAAACGAACCTACTATTTAGGCATGTATGCATTAAAGTAAAAACATCGCCTTCTCCCGGGGTACTAGGTAACGTTAGCATATACTTCGCTAGGTGTCGTTTTTACCGATTGTGAAAAAACACCCCTGATCCGAAATAGAACAGTCCGAAGTCAAAAGTTCACCTACAGCTGGTGCACCGGGCAGCAGTTCTCAGGTACTTTTGATATATTCTCTGCTTTTGTGCAGACACTGGCTGATTCCCATGTCCGAAGCCCTTATCTTTCTGTTTTATGCATTTATGAGCAATGTCATGTCTCAGTCACGAATGAATTTGCTGTCACGATTTGCATTTTGTAAAATGGGGAGGGGGGCGTGGCTAGCCTGAAGGGAAGTACCGTAAATGCCATCCTCAAGTACATGTAGGTATCTATGGGTAGTATATCTTTTTTTGTTTCTTTGTTTGTTTATTTCGATCCCCATTAGTGCTTAAAAGCACTATTCTTCCTGGGGTCAATAAAATAAAACATAGATAACAATACTTTGTACATAATGTTGATTACAAAATAATAAAGTAAGTTCAAATCAATAGAGTAAGTTCAAATCAATAGGAGAGGTCAGAGGTCGACCTAAAAAAAAGCACAGAATAATCTGAACATAATCCAGAGTTGTATGTAATCAACAAAGGTGCCAACAAAATTAACAAAGGTATAATAACTTAAATAACTGAAAGGAACATAATGTCTGACTGATCATATAATTCCAAAGAAAAGATAAATATAACAAATTGATCAGCCATTTAAATAACTGAAAGGTAGCAGCAGAGACAAAATAACTTATACAAAATCAAATAAAACAATCTATACAATAAGAGATCAGGCTTAGCTTATGCTTGTTACCACCATAGGCTCAATGGTGAGGATTTGCTTTGGGTCATAGCCAAATCTCTTATTCTTGTTTTGAATACAGCACAGTCGGTTGTGATTAAGTTACTAGGTAGTGTGTTATACGCTTTTGTGCATCTGTAAAGAAATGATCTAGTCAGGGCTTTGGTTCTGGGTTTGGGTAGTGTGTAGCCTCTTCTGTGTGACAATCTGGTGTTGTGTTGGTGTGAGATATGAGTGGTACTAACTCTGTCATATGTGCTCTTTGGTTGTTTCACTGTGACAAGTTTGTGGAAGGCACTTAAGGTGGTGGTGTACATTCTTTCCTTTTTAAATAGTTTGTTCAATTTTAGAGAGTTTTGCACAGTTAAGTCTCATCTTAATCAAGTTCAAGGCATTAGTTGTGACTGTAAGAAACCAGGAGGAGACAGTAGAAACAGATAAAAACCCCTTGGTCCCGGGCCGGATTCGAACTCACGGCTCCCGGGCCACAGTCAGACGCTCTAACTGAGTGAGCTAAAAGGTCTAGACCCGTTTGCCGGATCTGTTGGTAGCGCCTATAAACCCCCAACTGTTACAGTGACCATATTACAACATAAAACAACTTTTCAAAACACTGCATGTATGTTTTATTGTCACTCAGTGATCGTTATCAAGTGGAAAGGGGCCTAGCCAACCACACAGAATGGTACAAATGAGTCAGTGTATTAAATCTTTTACATTGTCATTTCCCCAGATCCATGGACACCTGTGATGCCCAGTGACTGACAGGAGACAGCACTATGAGGTACAGCAGCACCAGGGGTGGGGTCAAAGGGCAGACGTTTGAGCAGGCGCTGTTCTCAGGATACTGCAGTGATGGAGGACTGCTGCTCCCCGATGCTGTCCCACAGGTAGGAACAGCGCTATGTTCCCTGATGCTGCCCCTCAGAACTGTATTGTGTGTTCCCTGATGCTGTCCCCCAGGTAGGAACTGCTCCCTGATGCTGTCCCCCAGGTAGGAACTATTCCCTGATGCTGTCCCCCAGGTAGGAACTATTCCCTGATGCTGTTCCCCAGGTAGGAACTGTTCCCTGATGCTGTCCCCCAGGTAGGAACTATTCCCTGATGCTGTACCCCAGGTAGGAATGCTTCCTGATGCTATCCCACAGGTTGCACAATAGTTAGGTGTTCCCTGATGCTGTCCCACAGGTAGGAACTGTTCCCTGATGCTATCCCACAGGTAGGAACTATTCCCTGATGCTGTCCCCCAGGTAGGAACCGCTCTGTGATGCTGTCCCACAGGTTGCACAATAGTTAGGTGTTCCCTGATGCTGTACCCCAGGTAGGAACTGTTCCCTGATGCTGTTCCCTAGGTGGGAACTATTCCCTGAATGATGCTGTCCCCCAGGTAGGAACTATTCCCTGATGCTGTCCCACAGGTAGGAACTATTCCCTGATGCTGTCCCACAGGTAGGAACTATTCCCTGATGCTGTACCACAGGTAGGAACTGGTCCCTGATGCTGCCCCCCAGGTAAGAACAGTAAGGTGTTCCCTGATGCTATCCCCCAGGTAAAAATAGTAAGCTATACCCTAATGCTATCCCCTAGGTAGGGACAGTAAGGTGTTCCCTAATGCTATCTCTTTGGTAAGAACAGTAAGGTATTTCCCAATTATGTCCTCTACATAGGAACTGTAAAGTGTTCCCTGATGCTGTCTCCAGGTAAGAACAGTAAGGTGTTCCCCAATGCTGCCCCCTAGGAAAGAACAGTAAGGTTTAACCTCATGCTTGACAACATGATATTTTTGTTCAGATTCCCCAAGAAACTTTGCTGACCTGGTCTGACTTGTCTTATGTGGACCTTTGTAAGGAGATTCTTCCCCTCTTTGTGGACGACACAGAAATACCAAGGAAAGACCTCCATGGTAAGTACATACTAGTATGCCATATTTCAGTACAGTTGTCTCTTGATTCAACAATGTAATATATTTAAAGCAGACATGTTGGAGACATGAAGATCCCAAAGATCAAAATCCATATGCAAGATGTATTTATACATGTAGATTATGATACAGCATAATGCATTATAATATTATCATGGTCTGAATTTTAGATTTTGCAAAATGGATTATTATTGGTGAAAGAGTATCTTATTCTTTGAATCAGGTCTAGGCCTTGACCCACTGTCAGATGTAACCACAATTTCAGCTCCATAATGTGTAAAAAAAAAGCAGCAGGAATCACACTATCATGATGCCTTATCCTAATCATTTTTGAACATCCCCCTCCAGGACTGATAGACAGAGCCTTCTCTAGGTTCAGACACCCAGATGTGGTGAACATTGCCAGACTTAAGAAGGGCCTGAATGTCTTAGAGCTGTGGCATGGGGCAACACTGGCCTTCAAGGACCTGGCTCTGTCTTGTGTGGGACAGTTCTTGGAGTACTTCTTGGACAAGAGGAAGAAACATGTCACCATTGTTGTTGGTAATAGTCCGGTTGCCAAACCCCCGATTTTTGAAGAACCTTGCAATGCGGTCCATACAAAGTTTTTTTGTTGTTTCTATATCTCTGAGGTGTGCTCTTTCAGAATCTGAATGATGCCACTCTGTCATCCTTGGGCAATTCGCACAATATGCAAATTAAGGTGGCCATTACTGAAAATCCAGTTTTCGTCAATATCTCAGTAACTACTCATGGTATCAGAATAATTTTGGTGTCTATCCCCACCTTTTGAGGGATAACGAATTAAATCAAGCCATTGCAGTAAAGATAGAACCATTATTTTTTGCTAAATATGCAAATTTGGGTGGCAATATGCAAATTAGGGCGGCCATTACTGAAAATCTGTTTTTCGTCAATATCTCAGGAACTACTCATGGTATCAGAATAATTTTGGTGTCTATCCCCATCTTTGAGGGATAACGAATTAAATTAAGCCATTTCAGTAAAGATAGAACCATTATTTTTTGCTACATATGCAAATTTGGGCCTTGTCTGTTATTGACCCACCTGGCTGGCAGCAAGGAGGGGTCCTAATTCCGACCCATGTTCCATGCAAACGCACATGCCTTGGTATAGTTTATCTGACTCAAAACCTGTTCAATATTGAAAGACAAGTTTACCTAAGTCTAGATGGCAGACGTCTTCTTGCATGAAACGCCGCTTGCGTATGATTCAAGTAGACACTGGCTGTTGGTTAGCTCTGGCTCATATATCTGTGTTGGGTATGAAGTCCTGTCGTCTGATGCTTAAGATCTTCCTCACGCATTCACTATCAGAAGCATGCAGTGATTCCAGTCTCTTTTCTCTTTTCTTGGCTGATTTCCACATAGTAGGTTTCAAAGTCAAGCTGGTTGAAGGCTGCTGAGGCCTTTCCAAGTCTACAGTCTAGCTCATTGTCCATCTGTCCTTTGTTGTTGGTGGAGCTCCCAAGGTAGGTGAAGTTCTCCGCCACTTTCAATTTGTTCTCGTCAATGGTCACACTTCTAAGAGGAGCGTGTGTCCCTATCAGCATGTTAATTGATGGCCCTGATGCTGAGCCCAATGCTGTCTGCAGACGGACTATGTTGGTTGGTCACTAGGGGTTGGAGATCTCTGGCGTTTTCCGCTATGTCGTCTGCAAAGTCAAGGTCGGCAAACTTTGTCTCTGGAACCCACTTTACCCCCCTTTTCTCCTGTTGCTTCCCAAGTACCCAGTCGATAGCCACGGGAAAGAGGATCTGTGACAGGACACAACCTTGGAGGATCCGTCTTCAAACCACCAGCTGTATCTAGATTCCTTCAACCGTCCGTACACAACACTTCGAGTTTCAGTATATCTGTTTAACTGCACACATAAGTTTACTTGGCAGTCCATAACTGTACACGATAAAGAGGGACTTTAGATGCTATCAAACGCCTTGCAGAAATAAATGAATCTGATAGCTATAATTAAAAGGGATTTGCAGTTCAGCACATTTCCTCCACCGCAGGGTGAAGATCTGCTCAGCACAGGATCTCTTTGAGCGAAAGCTAGCTTGTTGCTCGCAGCTCCCAGAAGACTTTGCCTACTGCATCTCTCATGTGGTTCAGGAGGCATTTGGCATACACCTTCACTTGTATAAAAAAGAATTGTCACTCCCCTTAAGTTATCACATTCATTCAGGTTTCCCTTCTTTGGAATATACACTTTAAGCCTAATGGTATGTCACAATTCAAGAAAGGGACCCGCTCGGCTCGTTTTTGGCCTGTGTTTTGGCACTACCGAATTCGGAACGGGACCTGGAAGGCAATAGGCGGGGTTCCCGACGGCTGCCGGCCTATTTTTTTTGGTCCCGCGACGTCGCCAAATTGATTTGACTCAAGTAAAGTCACTTCAGGCCCCGGCGGGCAAGGTACGCCGAAGCGACCCCGTAACCTCACCGGACCAAACCGTAACCTAGCCGCCGGGTCATGCACAGGCACCTGTCCAAGATTATGAAGTCACGTGTGTTGTTCTGTGCTTGAATTGTTCAGAAGAAGGTAGTTATAGACAATATAGAGGGTAATGTGCTGTTCTCGACATAGTTACATCATCAGTCAGTCATAGTGACCATACACGGGTCTGCGCATCAACCAGCAGGGCCGAACCCACCATACCAGCCACAGGCGTACCAGCCTGGGACCTGCCAGGATCGCCCCTTGACCCCGCCAGGGACCCTGTAGCTACCCGGCCGGAATGCAAGAGCTAGTCGGCACCCTATTGCATCCCGCACAGGTCTGACAGAAGACTGACTGTGCACCGGACGGGTCCCCAACAGAAACCGGTCGTCAAGGGGACCAAAATTTTGTGAATTTTACATAGAAGCCGCCTCAGCGCCCCGACAGGGAGCCGTAAAGGAAAATTCAATTGTGACCCTGACAGCCGGCGTACGCTCGGCTTCATGACGCCGGCCGGCGTCTACACCGAGAACATGCCGAGCAGGCCCCGTTTCACATGTGACTCCAGCTGAACTACTGATCCGTTATTCCAGTCCTCCAGCACTTCCCTGTGATCGTCGTTGAATGCCTGCTTTATTCCAGGGAAGGCGTACTAGGGAAGACGGCTATGGTTCTATTAAAGCGTTTGCGATGTACGGCGACCAGAAAAGCATCCATCTCACAACACAGTCACCCTGGCTTTCAGCATCTCTGAAGTGATGCCATTCATGCCTGGTGACTGACTTCAGCTTCAGAGATGTCCTCGATCTCAACAGGTAATGGGTGTAGGTGTTCATCAAAGACTAATGCTACTGAGGTATGGCTTGAGCGGTTTAAGACTTTTTGAAAAGTATTCTGCCCACCTGACAAGCTTGTCCTCCCCCTAAGACAGTGGTAGGGTCCCATCCTCCGCCTTAATTAGGCCTGTGCACTTTTGAGCGGCCGCCGGTCATCTTCCTGGAGATCTGTTAAGCTTTTGTCCCAATTGTAAAAAAAAGTCCCTGGCGGGTAGTTCCCGGGCTGTTTTTGACACTTTCAGCCGTGCGACACCCCGCGGCTACCGGGCTATTTTTCTTTGGCCTGTCCGGGACTCAAGAAGAATTCAACTTAGATTCTACGCGGGCCACGCTGACATAAAATTCAGGACGTCAAGTTAGCGCTTTATTCTGCCTGTACACAGACGCTGGTAAGGCACAGGTGTGAGCTTATGAAGGGTCTAATATTTTTTTGAACAGATTGTATCATTTATTAACATTCCTATCAGTGTTCAGAGGTACAGGCGCCCATGCTATATACTGGTTAGTTTTTGCATAATTTGCATTAAATTTTGGTGTGATCAATACTGGGATGGTTTATTCTAAATATCTAGCCTTCAAAACATGTGTATAGTACAAATGTATGTGTATTGTATCAAAAGTATTGTTGATACCATGAGATTTTTTGAGATATTGACGAAAAACAGATTTTCAGTAATGGCGGCCTAAATTTTCAAATTAAGCACAAAAATATCTATTTGATCTCCACTGAAATGGCCTGTCCTCAATAGTTATGCCAAAAACATGGGGAAAGACACCAAAGATATTATAATATCATATGTAGTTACTGAGATATTGACGGAAAACAGATTTTCAGTAATGGCCACCTTGATTTGCCTATTGTGCGGCTTTAATTTGCATATTCAGCACAAAAAAACTGGTTTGATCTTTCCTGAAATGGCTTAATTCCATTCGTTATCCCTCAAAACATGGGGATAGACACCAAAATTATTCTGATACCATGAGTAGTTCCTGAGATATTGACGAAAAACAGATTTTCAGTAATGGCCGCCCTAATTTGCATATTTCGCGGCCCAAATTTGCATATTTAGCAAAAAATAATGGTTCTAACTTTACTGAAATGGCTTAATTTAATTCGTTATCCCTCAAAAGATGGGGATAGACACCAAAATTATTCTGATACCATGAGTAGTTACTGAGATATTGACGAAAACTGGATTTTCAGTAATGGCCACCTTAATTTGCATATTGCGCGAATTGCCCAAGGATGACAGAGTGGCATCATTCAGATTCTGAAAGAGCACACCTCAGAGATATAGAAACAACAAAAAAACTTTGTATGGACCGCATTGCACGCTTATCGGTCTCTGCCACCAGACTATAAGATAAACCTTTTGGATGGTCTGTAAAGAATGTTAACTACTTCTATTGTATTGTGGCAATCCTGATAAGATAATTGTGCTAATATTTTGCTGTTAAGAAAGTGAAAATTGCATATACAAAGTCTTTATGAAATGCTACATTTATCACAATGTAATTCAAGTAAAAGCATAATCTTTACTTGATTGGCATGTTACAGTATATTGGGGGAGCATACATTGTCTTGTTTGGCATAAAAGGGAATGGAAAAATCTTGTTCAATATACTGTCCACTGCCTTTAAATAAGACATCAAAAATCATAATAGTAAACCTTACATTATGAAATAAAGACAGTAGTGGACAGTATTACTTTACTTTTACTTCATCTTACACTGTACATGAGATTAGCCTTCGGGCATGATGTTGCACGCAAAAGATATACAAAAATGTAATTCATATAGAAATGACTGATGTCCCTTCACAGGGACGTCTGGTGACACGGGCAGTGCGGCCATTGAGGCTGTCCGGGGGCTGAAGTGGGTGGACATCGTGGTCCTGCTGCCCCACGGCCGCTGCAGCAGGATTCAGGAGCTGCAGATGACCACTGTTCTGGATGATAATGTCCACGTGTTCGCAGGTAAGGGTGCGGACACATTCGGCATAGGTCGTCACACAGTTTTTCTAGTCGTAGCATTTTGAAACAGATGGTGGCGGAAAAAATCATGAAAAAAAAAACACCAAAAAGGATCTAAGTCTACCTTTTCAGTAGCATACAGTAGCAGAAACAGTTAGAGAGAGAGAAACGTTTCTTTGTAGTAAGATTCTCAGCCCAAATTACTAGTAGTCATTTGCAGCAGATTTACTTCATAATACGTATTGTAGATTTGACCAAACCATAAGTACATGAATACTGTATAAGTTGTTCCTGTTAACCAGTGGACGGCACGTCTGATGACTTGGACTATCCCATCAAGCAGTGCTTCGTGGACGCAGAGTTTGTGCAGAAACACAACCTGATGAGCATCAACTCCATCAACTGGGCCCGCGTCATGGTGCAGACTGTGCACCACTTCTACGCCTACTTCCAGGTAGCAAGGAACATTAATTATTACATCGTCTTCATTTTTATACTCTTCGAATGGGAGACAGAGAAATTCTTCTCCCATTTTTAAATCTACTGTATTAGAAATGTATTAGATAATCCTTTGTGAGGATTAACACATTAGAATTCTTTTAATCAAGTCTCAATAGTAGAGAAGACCAATCTTGTTTATCTTTCAATGAAAAACAACAGTTTATTGTGAAATTCTATTACCTCCATGGACAAAAGTTTTGGTTTTTGTTTGTTTACTTGCTTGTGTATCTTAAGTTATTTGAATACAGTATAGTTGGGACAAAATGGTCTCCCCATATGTTTGACTTAAGTCAGCAGAGTAACAGGAAGTTAAGGGGAGAAATGTAACAGCAGACTAACAGGAAGGTCAAATTTGGGGATGTGTCAAATTTTTTCCAGTTTAACATGTATTGTTTTATTTTATCAGATGTGCAGGTCATGTGACCAGGAGGTAGAGATTGTGGTGCCTACAGGAGCGATGGGTAACATCACAGGTGAGTGCAGTAAGGTGGGTCGTGTAGCGTAATGGCAGAGCATTCGGCTCAGAACCAAAAGGTCCAGGTTTAAACCCTGCTAAGTCACCAACCTTGTGCCCTTTCCTTACTTCGCTCAGGTGTTAATGAGTATGCCAGAATGATCATTATCATGATCATGGGCATTAAAAAGAAAACCATTTTCCCAACCAACCATATGAGCTAGCAAGCCTGTCAACCCTAGCCATTTGTTTGTCAGTCAACCACAAGAAAGGGCATAATATTTTTGATTTGACATTGTTTCCTCAGCCGGGTGTATAGCTAAGATGATGGGCCTGCCTGTGAAGTTTGTGAGCACGGTGAATGTTAATGACATTGTGGACCGAGCTCTGAAGCATGGAGACTTCTCCATGGCAGACAAGGTCATCCCAACATCCTCCAACTCCATGGATATACAGGTGTGTTATAGATCACTATTTATATCTTACATGGCACAGGTGAAATCACTTCACAATACATATTTTATATGCCTTTGTTATGTGTGTGTCTTAGTTATTCTGCACGCTGCCTTATAAATATGAATAAAGATACAGTCAAAACTACCCAAAGACCACTTATATAGGAACAGTAAAATCTGGTCTATGTGCACAGGTGGTCACTATAGACAGGATCATAGTGTCGATTTGAAAAATTATACAAGGGACCACCAAAAAGTGTATTTATTGATTCAATAACCATACATAGCAAATATGAGCCATCTTTCTTGGCATGAGATGACAGTACTGACAACTTTGACTTCCTCACAGGTGCCTTATAACTTTGAGAGAATCCTGTACCTGTTCTCAGGCCAGGACTCAGCCCTGGTGGCCAGACTCATGAGGGAGTTTGAGGCTACAGGGAAGACTGTCATCCCTGACAATCTTCTTCACAAGGTTGGCCCAACATCATGTGTTCTTTTTTCTAAGTTTACATAATGTAAATTAGTCCAGAAGGGTGTTTAGTGTTGTAACACAATTTGAGTAATGTGAGTGATGAAAATGTTGAAGAAATGTTTTTGTTTGTCTGTCACCACTAGCTGCAGGCAGTGATGAGATCCTACAGTGTGACAGAAGCTGACACCTTGCTGGCCATGAGGACATGTTGGGAGGAGAACCAGTATCTGTTATGTCCTCACACTGCTGTTGCTGCTTTCTACCACATGGCACAAGAAAGGTACACACAAATCCTTAAACCCACTTTTAAATGTTTATCAATTATGTTTCATTATTTTTTATTTCATAAGTTACAGAAACACTGAATGTTTCTTTGTTTTTTATATCTGGTAAATATCCCTTAGACATAACACATCAATTGTGTACAGTAAGTACAAGCTGCTTAAGACCAGACTGTAAGGTGTTTTCCAACCATACTACCCCTAATCTTTTTTATAAGTTTTGACATGGGAAATTCAGAAAGCCAATTGCACTCTTCAATACTTTTCAGATGTGTGAAATCTCCAAAATGAATTTCTTTTGTAGTATCCAAATGACGTTTTCTGCAGTAGAAGTGTATATTCAAATTTGATACATTATTTTCCAGCACCAGTCCCAGTTTGCGAGTGTGTGTGGCCACGGCAGCAGCAGCTAAGTTCCCCGAGGCTGTGGAGAAAGCCGGCCTGCTGCCCCAGCCCACCCCAGAACTGCAGGCCCTGGACTCCATGCCCACCAGGTACCAGGACATGAAACAGGGACAGGACTGGGAGGCCATGCTCAGGACCAAAATACAAACTCTGCACTCCAAGTAGACATTGAACACTTGTAGTGCAGAACTTGTCTTTGACATCTGCTGAGTTTCTGCAAATACTTCTCATATTCATTATTATATAATAGTAAAATCAGTCATGGTCTGAGGAAAATGCACATCCACGGAACTTAATCTTCACAATGGTGGCATGTACATGGAGAGGGGCCAAAGACAAATGATTTGATAACGGTAATGTTAAGTTCATGGTACAGAAGTAACAGTGAAAATCATGAAGTCAACATAAAAGTACCGTGAAAATATCAGGAATTACTGTTAATTTCACCAGTTTTGGAAGAGACTGTTTGAGAAAGTCAGTTATTCAACAACCAGTTGGTTTGTCAGATGTAAGAACCCACTGGTTGTTGACTACTAAAGAACCTTCTCATACCCTTCTTATTTCCAAAATGGCTTCAAAGCTATACTTAAGTGCCATACAAATAGCAATTATTGATTGTCAAAGTACATTACCTATTATCTATTTATGATTCATGAATGCCAAATGTTTAATGCCAAATATTTAAAATCCAAAGCCAGTGTTTCATAATACGTTAATGGCAAACTTATTGATAAGTTATTTACAGAGATTTAAAATGAATTATCTGTAATTTTTACTGTAGATGTATAGCTGTAGCACATTCTGCCGTTGTGATACGAGGTCTTTTTTTAATGAGTTTGACAGTGGAACAGTTTTAATTACTTACTGATGGAAGAAAATTTACAAAAGAAAGAAAAGGGTACATTGCAATTACAACAAGTTCCACGATCTCATACCTTCGCCAAATGATGTTAACCCTTGCAGTTGACAAATTATACAATTTTAATCATTGATTTTGCAAATAAGAGCCTCATTTGCATGGATTATATCACTTGATCATATTCAGCCTTATCTTAACAAATAGGCTATTAGAACACTTCATCATAAATTATGCAAATGAGGTCATGATTTGAATAAATTATGTTTATAAATGTTCGCCTTCACTTAACTTCCAAATGTGGCAAGTATAAAATTCCCATCAGTTACAATTATAAATTATAAAAATTTTGCCATTAATTATGCAAATTAGGTCTTCATTTACATAATCTATATCCTCAGATGTTTTTTTCGTTCTCAATTACGTCACAAGGGTTTCATAGTGACGTATTATCAAACAAAGCAGATTTATAGAATTTCCTCATTAATTATGCAAATTAGCTCCCGATTTGCATGATTGCCATGTGATTATATCAAGTATCACTTAAGCTACCCACATACAAAAAATCACGACAATCCGTCAACCGGTTCTTGAGTTATCCTCCTTCGAAAATGTTTCAACAAATGCTCCTGCAGTTCCAGAATAAGCCGCTAGGGGGCCCAAACTCATGTCACTTCTTCCCTACCCCAAGAGCTATTTACCAACCAAAATTCGTGACCCTAGCATGTCCAGATCGCCAAAACCGGAAGTTCTGCTGCAGTACCAACAACAGCCGCCAGGGGGCCCAAAATCTAATCATTTCTTGGTCTCATCAAAACCTACCCACATACCAAGTTTCATGACACTGCATATTAAGCTTCTTGAGTTATGCTGTTCACAGACAAACGGACAGACGGACAGATGCTACTGAAAACATAACCTTCTTGGCGAAGGTAACCTGTTTATGTATTGCATTAATCCACTGTTTATCCTGTATACCAACGCTAATAGATTTAATTAGAGATAGTAGGTTTAATAAGTATATCGTACACGTAGAACTTCATGTTAGCATGAAGTTTTATATCACCACATTTTTCTGGTTAATGTCTGTTTGCAAAATAGCCCTCGGGTATGAACTTGCAATAAACTACATGTATCTATGCAAGTCGTGTACAAACAACCACGACTGTTTTATATCCAATAGTCACGAGTATCTATTCAGACAGTCAGACGATATCAATTTGTTGAGTTTAGGTGAAGGCGACTAGGATACAAATGGCCTTCCAATCATTTTGAATTTGCCGATTTTATTTTTTCATCAGTTTATTTTGGCGAGGTGGTTGCTTCAGTTTTGTTTCCTCTATACAAGGTCATAAGCCCTGCTTTGTCTAGTTCATCCCATAATTTCATTTCCATCTTAAAATCATGATTGACGTAAAATACAAATTTGCGCCAGTCTTTCTCGTAATAATGATCGCTGTACTGTCCGTGATCGGCAGTGAGGAAGCCATAGGCGTCCGTGACGTCACAGGTATGCAGGGCGGTCAGTAACATCATGGCTCCCTTGGAGGGTTGGTAGATGCCTTCGAACCGTCCATAGCCATGGGAAGAGTTAAGCCAACTGAAGATTAAGAGATGCCTACATGTTAAAACATGCACGAGCCAAGACCTTCTTGAAACAAGTTCATGAAATAATGTGTGAACTTCTACAAGCAGGCGTTGTCCAAAAATGATCTCCAAGATTAAAAAGGAAGACCAGTTAAATATTTTTACATTTATCTGTTTCTCTATATTACAAAGTAGTCATCATAAGAAGGTAGATCCACACTTACTGATACTTCAGATACCTCATGAAGTCAGGATGAAGCATCCGGAACTTCGTATTCGCAGGCTTTACACCATACTCAGACGGGGGCCTAGATTTACCATTGTCTCCGCATTCCCTCGTATGTCAGCCTTCAGTGGAATGACATAAGGTGTAGTGGGCCTGACCACCCCCATTTCTCACTTGGTAGCTCCCAGAATGAAACTCCCATGATTCCTTGCTGCGCATGCGCACTGGTCAGTCTTTATTTTTTGAGCCTCTGGCAACACACCCCCGGTGTTTTTCTCTTGGTAAAATGGGCTCGAAGCGCGAGGACAGACGACGCAAGAGTTCAAGAGCTCCCGAAGAGCGGGAGGAGCGCGCGCGCTCCTCCTCGAGGCACGCCAGCCGCAAGAGGACGGCGTCCAGAACCGAGCACATGGCGCCCCCCTCCCCACCTGGGGGCGGCCATGATAGTTCTTCACAACATTCACAGCCGCCCAAGTTGCGGCCTGTTACGGCCCCGGGCGACGACGTGGACTCCACGGCGGGCGGAATCGAGTCTGAAGAACTTCATGAGGGAGAGAAAGGCACACGTGTCGACTCTCAACTCGAGAAGAAGAGCGAGGAAGAAGTCTTTTTGGAGACTCAAGAGAAGAATGGTGACAGCAGTGCCGTACGTATATCTGCCTTAGAGCAGAATTCTCTTTGCTTTCAGATAGCTGGACGGACTTCAAGAACTGCTGGTCAACCAACTGACGTCTTCAGGACCCTCGAGGAAGCGGCGAGCTTCGACTGGCGAGGGAACGGTTGCAGAGAAGCGGCAGCGCTTCACAGCTCAGCCGGAAGAAGGGGAGGGGGCGGCAGCACCTTTCCCGACGACAGCGCGTCATCCGACGATGGCGGCGATGGCTTCAGCGCTCTAGAGCCGTTTGACCCGACAGCCAACAAGGCCAAGGAGCCCTGGGAGGCCGATGATATTGTCATTCGGTTCTCCGAGAAGTACTTCAAGCACGAGAACCAGTGCAGGGGAGAGGCTCTAGAGAGCTGGCAGAAGATGCATGACTGGCCAGACAACAAGCCGGACAACATGGTGGCACCGGTCCTGAACGATTTCTTGTCCCGTGCTGTCATCGAGAACGACAAAAAGCAGGGTGAGGTGATCGTTTCTCACGATAAAGCATTGAAAGGGGTACAATGTAATCTTGTACAAGTGGCTTGCCCTTTAATGAATCTTTGGCAACTCATTCAACGTTGTGACAAGGATAGTTTTGAAGAGTTTCAAGTGACAATGAATGATTGTGCTAGTTCAGCCATGGCACTTCTGGGATCAGTGAATTCACAGTTGTCATTCACCCGACGTTCCTTTGTGTCCGAGTCTTCTCAGAAGAAGTTCAGAGACATCTTCAAGAAGCCTTCAGATGATCCCCAGTACCTGTTTCCACCAGATCTGGGCTCTAAGGCTAAAGAGATGGCTTCAGAGGACAAGGCCGTCTCCGGGCTGCTGCAGAAGGAGGGGTCGACCAACAAGGCTTCAGGGTCATCCCAGAACTTCCGTCGAGGCGGCGGTGCCGGTTCAGGCGGTAACAGGGGGAGGGAACACACGTTACTTTCCCAGAACCAACTACAGCTATGCAGGCAGCAGCTACCAGTCACGTCCATCTTACTACAACTCATCCCGGTCCTTTCGCTCCAAGCCGGCGGGGACGGGAAGCGGCAACAGAAGAAGTAAGCTCCCCATCTACTACAGAGAGCGGGGCCCGGCGTTCGACCGAACTGCAAAGTGTACCTCATCCGTCTCCGCTGCCTCATGCCGGCAGGTTAGCCCACTTCCTTCATCAGTGGCAGCAGGTGACTACGGATCCATGGATCCTTCAATGTGTACAGGGGTACAAGTTGGAGTTTGCGACAACGCCGCCAATTCAGGGACGTCTTCCACTGTCCCGACCGAGAGACGACGCACAAGCGGCAGTCATAGACGAGGAGGTAAGAACCTTACTCACCAAGGGAGCAGTTACAGAAGTTCCCTACCATCACACACAGTTTGTTTCAACTTTGTTCACAGTACCCAAGAAGACAGGGGGTCTTCGACCGGTCATCAATTTGAAACCCTTAAACAAGTTTCTTCACAAGCAACGCTTCAAGATGGAGAGTCTTCGCCTCATCAAACATCTAGTGCGGCCAGGGGATTACATGGCCAAACTAGACCTGACAGACGCATACTTTACCATCCCAGTTCACGAAGACGATCGCAAGTATCTGACGTTTCACTGGAGAGGAAGATTCTACCAGTTTCAGGCCTACCCTTCGGCATCGCCACCGCACCTCGTGTCTTCACCAAGGTGATGAAGGTACCCATCGCACTTCTGCGTCGGCGAGGGTTTCGTCTGGTGGTGTATCTCGACGATATTCTAGTGATCGCTCGCTCAAGAGAGATGTGTCGGAAGGTGCTTCAAGCAGCCATCGATCTGATCTCCAGTATGGGATTTGTGCCCAACTTATCCAAGTCGGTACTGGAACCGACTCAGCGTATCACCTTCCTCGGCTCAGGCATCGATTCAACACTGATGGTGATGTACCTTCCCGAGGACAAGGTGTCAGCTATACAGCAGATGGCAGACACACTTCTGTCAACAGACTGCCCGGTGTCAGCAAGAGATCTTGCAGGGATCATCGGGAAGCTACAAGCTACAGCACAGTCGGTCTGGCACGCTCCACTTCACTTCCGGAATCTTCAGCGTCTGCTTATCAGAGCTCTGCGAACGTCAAGAGGTCACTGGGAAGGTCAAGTCTCCTTGACAGCAGCCGCACGCACGAATCTGGTCTGGTGGAGAGACCAGCTGGCCAACGCGAACAGCCGACCGATTCTCGCTCCCTCAGCGGACTTGGAGGTGGAATCGGATGCGTCAGGTACAGGTTGGGGCGGCTTCTGCAATGGCGTCCACACCGGAGGCCGTTGGACAGAGAGAGAGAGCAGAGCTCACATCAACGTCCTAGAACTTCAGGCAGCGTCGATGACAGTACGCGCCTTCTGCAAGGACATCGAGAATGGTCACGTGAGAGTTCACTCCGACAATTCTACTGTGGTGGCATACCTGAACAGGTTGGGCGGCACACGGTCGCTCGCTCTACTGAATGCCACGCTGGATCTATGGCAGTGGTGCGCCAACAGGAACCTGTCTCTATCAGCGAAACACATCGCAGGCAGGGAGAACATTCGAGCAGATTTTTGCTCTCGACATTTTTCCGTAGCAACGGAGTGGTCTCTGGAACGGAATACGTTCCTGAGCCTTCAGGCAACGTTTCCACTACTCAGTCAGGGGGTGGATCTGTTCGCCAGCAGAACCAACCGACAACTGGAGCAGTACGTGTCGTGGCATCCAGAAGCGGAAGCCATGGGAACAGACGCCTTCACACTACGGTGGAACGAGTGGGAACTAGCGTACGCACTTCCCCCTTCCAAGCTGATCCCGCCAACACTGCAGAAAGTGCGGGAGGACAGAGCTCAGCTAATCCTGATAGCACCTGTGTGGGACACTGCGGTATGGTATCCCGTTCTACTAGAAATGGTGGTGGAAGAACCAGTCCTCCTACCCCAGCACGAGCATCTCCTGATCCAGGTAGAGTCCGGGCTGCCGCACCCAGAGGGCAGCAAACTGCAACTAGCCGCATGGCATGTTTGCGGAGACAACATGCGGTGTACGGCTTTTCGACAAAGGTTAGCCGAATTCTACTGGCATCATGGAGAGCAGGAACACAGCGTCAATATTCCTCGGCCTGGGACAAGTGGAGTAGCTGGTGCCGTGGACGGGATCTTGATCCCGTTTGTGCTCCTCTGAGTCAAGTGTTAGAGTTCCTGTTATCTCAACACGAGAGAGGGCTCCAGTACCGCACAGTGAACGTGTACAGATCAGCCATCTCGTCCACACATCTTCCCCTGGAAGGTCGTCCGCTAGGGGAACATCCTTTGATGCGCAGGTTTATGAAAGGTCTGTTTGAATTGCGACCTCCTATACCCAAGTATGCGTTCACTTGGGATGTCAGGCAAGTGTTGGACTTCTTGCGCCGCTGGTCCCCGGCCAACTCCTTATCTCTTCGTCAGCTAACTCTGAAACTGGCTATGTTAGTGGCACTGGTATCAGCAGGAAGGGAGCAGACACTTTCGTTCCTGGACGTAAAACTGAAGCGAAGAATTCCAGAAGGAGTTTGTTTCCGAGTAGAGAAGCTGACAAAGACTTCTCGTCCGGGCAGCGTGATTCAGGAGATCATTCTACCCAAGTTTGAAGAGGACCGTAGGTTGTGCCCAGTTCAATATTTGAAAGTGTATTTATCAAGAACTCGGAGTTTTAGGTTATGTGATAGTTTTTTGTTTCGTGCCCTGGTGGAACCGCACCAGGCAGTTACGTCAGCAACTATAGCTAGATGGCTGAAGACTGTCTTAAAGGAAGCAGGAATAGACACACGTCAATTCACAGGACACTCGACACGCAGTGCGTCTACTTCAGCAGCACAACTGCAGGGAGTATCTACCAAAGATATAATGAGAACAGCCAATTGGTCGTCTTGCAGTACGTGGGAGAGATTCTACAAGAAGCCTGTGGTGAGCAACAACTTTGGGCGAAGTCTCCTGGCCTCAGGCTACAAAGGCACCTTATGTCATTCCACTGAAGGCTGACCTAGAGGGATGCGGAGACAACTGAACCTGTCCATCACTGACAGGTCAGTTCGTACAATTCTCATTTTTGTAATAACACAAAATGCAATTCTTCAATCCAAGATACATATCTGAAGTTAATGTAAGATTAACGTTTACAATGTCTACCAAACACCAGGTGTATTTTGTGACATGAGGCCTGTTTGGTTTCTAAAAGACACTTAAATTTAACTACCATATGAATCATGGTGTGGTTCAAGGGACCGAGGCTTAATGTCGATATGTACACCCAGGAAAAGACTCACCAGACTCGGGTAGAACATACATGTAACAGTATGTCCAACGCAAAAGTTCCCTACAATGTGCAATCATTGGTACATCCGTTCTGACTTCCGGGGCAGTGTTGGAGTCGCGTGGCAATGTGAAAATAAACGAAACTGGAAGCTTTGAAAGCTTTCATTTTATTTTACATAGGCCTAGAAAACTTTTTGGGGGATTTCTGACCGCTGGCATTTAAACAAAATAACCTAAAATTTGGTATAAGGGTGACTCGTTTTACTTACGCAGACATTTATTTGACCACAGAGCGTCATTTGCGCTTTTCGCATATACCACTATTAACATGGTAGAATTTCAGACTTCTTGACAATTTTCTGATCAAAAATGTGTATTTTGGGCTTTTGTGCCCTAGTATTAAACCAAAATGACCTATAATTCACGCTTGCCTTTATACATGCTTTTATACCTTGAGACCAAACCAAACCGCCAGGCCCAAAACATATGTTTTTGGTCTTATTCCCTGAAATTTGGTATGGAGATGCATAGGGAATATACAGACAAGACATTTGGCATACCCGCCCATAAACATTCCCACAGAACTTTATTCATGTTAAATTGGCAGACCCTGTGTACTTTAAATGATGTATTTTGGGGAAGAGGTTGGGAAGAAAAGTCCATTTTGCACGGGGGTGTTTATTGAAGAGTCCATTCCTGCCGGGGGTAAATTCAGAATGTTAATTTTTTGGAGTGGGATCCATCTGTAGCCAGTTTTTCTTATTAGTGTGATCGCGATGATACAAATTTCAGGACGTTATAAAGGGATGCACATACATACTCGTGCACCTTGCTTCTGTCTCTTCCTGACTCTACTGGCTTCCAACTTATGGCGGCGTCAAAGTACACGTAGTCTCTTCTACCGTGGGAAATGGAGGTATACACCGTATCCTGAAGAAGTGGAGAAATGTTGAGGTGTATCGCTAGATTCCTCAAGTTACTAATGTTCGCCACTCACTACTGTGATGCAGATGATTTTACAAAACTGTCAAATCTAAATACTTGGTGGAAAAATATCCACATCATAATGATTTTGATGAACGATCCGCCAATCGATTATACGCTGCCTTTAAAGAAGAAACCAAACCTCACTACCAAGTATTTTATAAGTTAATCAGACAGTAGCTGCATTTTCTCCATTGCTTTACTTTACTTCTTTGACCCTGTACATGCAATTAGCCTTTCGGGCATATGGTTGTGCAAATAGAGAATTATCTAATAGATAAAAGGCTTTTGCGGCTATTCCTTGCCTGGGGTGGATTAATGATTAAATATTGAGTCAACGGGCCAGCAATATTTTAGATAAAACAATAAAAACAGCTGTGCAATAGATTAAACCAATCACCACCTTGCTCTGAGGAGGGTGTCGGAAGCCATATTTTCGTGCTGCTAGAACTGAATTCTTCATGCTGTTGACACAATGGAAGTAAAAGGATGTTCTTTTCCCAACATCCTCTTCGAATCCCTCAGTAATGGCGGCGTTCACTCTAATGTGCCAATAACAGCAGATCACCATTACATGCACGGCAAAATATGACACGCTGCGAATTTAATCTTGTATTGAGCTCGATCAGATAATATATTTGCTATGCAGTCTACTGAGGCAGGTATGTATGTAAATGTTTGTTTACGTACAGTCGCGTATCAAATACAAACATAAGGAAAACATGATGTGCTCACCTCCAGACAAAGTCATGTCCGTCTATCTCCTTCCCCTTGCCAGACCCCTTCAGGATCCCCCCGTTCCCGACAACAGCACACCGGATACAGCCGGCATGGTCAGGCGTCCAGCCGGGGAACATGTAGCGGTGGGCAGACGTGTTCAAGTGACGGAGACAGTTCTTGACATCTTCAGTTACAGAACAGAAAATTAAATTCAACTGAAGTCTCATTAGTTATTCAGAAAGATCGTCATGTGCTTACATTGTCTCCAACCAATTAAAAGCATTTGTCCAATGACAGTCTCATCTTAGCAAAGAAGCCTACTCCAGCATGTGCCTATCAATTATACCAATGATTTGTATTATTTATGTTAATTAAACGAATATATGATATATAGTCAGGTTCACAGAATTCACCATTAATTATGCAAATTAGATCCTGATTTCCAAAAATATCATATGGATATAACAAGCATCACTTAAGCTACCCACATGGCAAAACTCACGATGATCCGTCAGCCCCTTCTCGAAGATTTAACATCAACGTCCCTGCAGTTCCCAAACAGTTCGCCAATTTGCTGTCAGTCTTATTTATAACTAAAACAAACTTTGTGTCAACCATTGAGAACTAAATGTTACGATTATTTCTGTGAATTTAAGTTACCTACACAGTTTAATGTCATGGCGTCTATTTGACTGACAAAAAATAGTTACCTTCATAAGACATGCCGTCCCATCCGTAGCTCATTTTGAACTGCGAGAGTCTGGCGTACTCCTCAGGGGTGATGTGCTCACTCCACATCAGGACGGGGATGTCGGGAATAAACTTTTGTCCACCAGGAACCTTATCTGGGTTCTTACGTATTGCGCTAGGGCATTTCTGTATGGAACAGATAATAGTGAAGCTCCAATATCAATGTTTAATATCATTCGTTGTCACCGGAGATGACCAATGTCTTGGCTGCCCAATGTGGTTCTTGATTTATCCTCCTTAAAACATTTTTCAGCGAACGCCCCCGCAGTACCAGAACACAGAACAAAAGCAAGATCTACCGGACAACAGTTGTGACCGTAGCATGTCCAGATCATTATATAATGTCTAAACCGGAAGTAACGCTGCAGTATCATAACAAGCCGCGGGGGCGGGCTGCTGGGCAAAATCTCATTGTTTCGAGCTCTTATCAAGCCCTACCCACAAAATATCAAGACAATCCATCTAAGCCTTCTCGAGTTATCGTGCTTACACACACTCGCACGCACACACACACACATACACACACACACACACACACACACACACACTCACACTCACACACACACACTCACTCACTTACACACACACACACTCGCACACACACACACACGCACTCACACACAAACACACACTCACTCACTCACACATGCACACGCACAAACACACACACACACACACACACATAAACTCACACACACTCACACATGCACACGCACAAACACACACACACTGCACACGCACAAACACACACACATATTCAAACTCACACACACACGCATACGCACAACTCTCTCTCTATCTCTCTCTCTCTCACACACACACACACACACACACACGCGCGCGCGCGCGCGCACACACATATACACGCCGCCGAAAATATAACCTCATTTGGACTATGAATGCGCTGTCTATTTCATACATGTACTAGCAAAACCTGAAAATTACGAAGCACTGTTATAATTGAGCAAGAACCAATTAGTAATATATAATTAGAGCGCAGTAGCACAGAAGTTGGCAGGGACGAGGATTAATCTTATAAAGTTGAAGAAACGGATCACCGATCGTGTGTAGGTGTCGTCACGTAGGAACCAGGTGGGACTCCGCTTGTCTGGAGGTACTGTCGGTGGTGCTGAAGTTCCCGTGTCTGTCGGCGGTGCTGAACTTCCCGTGTCTGTCGGCGTTATGTTAACAGTCTGAGGCGGTTTAGTGGTACGCTGGACTTCGGGTTGTACCTCTGATCTCTTCACATGAGAGTTTTTCTCCGACATTTCACATGTCCTGAAAACAGATGATTAGGCAAGGTGAAAAAACACTGAAATGGAAAAAAAATCTAAGGTTTTAAATCTCCGGGCGAGTTTATGTGGATTTGGTACTCAAATGCCATCTGACATTGTCTCACCTTGTTTCCTGATATGACGCTAACTTCACATTGCTTTTGGTCAGGCTCTTATGTAGGTAGGATCCGAAGAACCAGACGAAACCCAGCGTCAGTACCAGGAACAGGAAGAACAGCCATTTGAAGCGCCCCATCTGTGCGGGGAAACCGTCTTACTCTCTTTTGTGGGGAAAGAAAAAATAGAGGTCTGTGTAAGTAGTCACCCTGGGTGAGACTTGGCAGATGTGATCTACATGTAACAGTTACATGTACCCCAACGGAAAATTCTCGTGATCATTGCTTGCGAATTAAGGGCATATCTGACAGGCCTAATGCCTATGATTAAAACGAAAATTAAGTTCCGTTTATCTTGGTTTGTATGGTTTCTTACATGTGTATTTGATTTGATTTGTTAGTCCGTACAAAACTTGCTACTCTGAATCAACCCTCCATTATCACGCCTCTATCACCCTAGCTACGGTTGTGGCCGAGCAGCTTTAAAGAAACAGAAATAACTAGAGTTCCACGATATCATATCGTCGCCAAATGATGTTAATTGTTTGACTGCCAAATTAGATTATTCGCCGTACTGCAGCTGAACTTCCAGTTTTGATATATCTCATGATCTAGACATGCTAGGGTGACGAAATTTGGATGGTGGGTAGCTCTTGTGCTGGGAAAGAAGTGACGTGAGTTTGGGTCCCCTAGCAGCTTGCTCTGAAACTGCAGGGCTATCTGTTTGAAATTATCAAAAAGAGGATAACTCAAGAACCGGTTGACGGATCGTCGTGATTTTTGGTATGCAGGTAGCTTACTTAATGCTTAATATAATTATGTGACAGTTATGCAAATATAGATGTAATTTGCATAATTTATGGGGAAATTCTATAAATCAGCTGCATTCCATCATAGGACTATTGAAGCTTCTGACATTGGTAATTGAGAATGAGATGAACACAGGCAGATATTGATTATGTAAATGAAGACTTAATTTGCATAATTAATGAAAAAAATGCTATAATTCTGTAATGATAACTGCCTGGAATTTCATACTTATGGTATTTGAAAGTTCAGTGAAGGTGAACATCATTAAACAAAATGCATTCAAATCAGGACCCTATTTGCATAATTTATGAGGAAATGCTAGAACGGCGTTGTTTCTTTATATAAGACTGTCGTTTGGTTGAGAATATGATAAACTGTGATAAATTCGTGAGAATGAGGATCCTATTTGCACAATCAGGTGGAATAATCTATAATTTGTCAGCCATAAAGATGAACATCATTTGTGAATGTATGAGATCGGGGAACTCTAGGTTCTTTATAAGTTTGCTTTTTTTGCATGCCAAATTCACATTAAGATAAAATCTATGCGCCGGTAGTTCTACACCCATTGTCCCACTTAACTCAGGTGAAAATTAGTATAGCTTCGGTTTGGGACGGCCTCTCGGATGGGGCCCGCGGCCGTGTTGTATGAGGCATACCCTCGAGCATGTGAAAGATATCCTTTCGGTAGTGAGTGGTTCATAAAACTAAAACATTTACGTGTACCCCCGACTCGTATGCGTAATGTCTACATATTACAGAAGCAATGGTACGCTGTCATTATAAATCCCCGGTGCACGTAATATGTTTTTTTTCTCGATCGTGCCGTATTTCGTAGATTTGAGAAAGGAAGAGGTGCAATAGTTTAATTTCTAAACCATATTCCAAACGTTTCGTCTCAAATCTACGACGTACATGTATAGCACGGTCGTCGCGGAAAAAGAGTCATCGCAGATACATCATACTGTGTACATGTATGTGACCTAGGCTTATCAGTGTTGTAAGGTGATACATGTATTAAAAATCAACTTGAGACAACAAATTTTGCATACCTGTGATGTGAAGATTTCCTTGTGGATCCTCTCGTCTCGTACTTCAGCCGTGTTCTTGCTGTTCTGCTAACTGCGGTCCAATACGTGCCACATCCTGGTATTGGTTTGTTGACAGGTTGTCACATTTGTTGACATCTTGTCACCCCGCAAGACGCAGACAATATAATAGTACCAAACACAAACCTATTTACTGTAATGCTGAGACTGTTGGACACAATAAACTAAGACAATGCCACCCGGATGAAATCAACATCAGTATCAGTATCTTTTGACATACATACCCACATTTCTAATATCGATCGCAAATGTGGACCATTTGAACGACCTTCCCCTTAAGCTTGTTTTGCACATCATTGCCTTAGTTGCTAGCCTGTCATCGTCCAAACGGCGGATGATAGTCATTTCATTTCATTTTTCATTTATTCATTTTACCAGGAAATACACATTCAGGGCAAAACACTGGTTTTCAGGAGTTTTTTGGAATATGGGGCCCAAACTTTTTCCATTCGGGCAGGGCATTCACTTCTTACTACCAAACACCACACTTAGATCTAGCACACGTGTTAACATGTAATACATACAACATTTCAGTTTTGCTTTATGCAAAAATAATAGTTTTGGTCACTCGATAGTCGCTCCACGGTCGCCACCCCAGTGGAAAGGACCGAGTATTATTACGAAGAGCTAACAAATGTGATTTACTGAGCCTAACGATTGTTAGCACCAGTTTTTAACACCAGCAGTTTTATACCCTAAGCCTTGAGGAGTTCATGTTGCTTTTGTTGGCCTCCGCCTGCCTGATAATAAGAGTGTGATAACAATTATGTTTGTAATTATAACTTTCTTGACGACTTTGTGTGGACAGTCCCTCGTCCTAATGAGTCCTACCATCACAGATCGTTCAATATAAAGTCAGCTTAGCTTCAGCAATAGTTGAAAATTAGCTTTACCTCGCTAAGAAAAAAACTTGTACAATTTAAAACATCGTTGTACAGACAGTGCTTCTATCTTTACGCGAAATCATGTGGAGTAAATGATAACAGAAACCAGAAAATTAAAGCTTATAGAAGATTAAAATCTTTTGAACATCAAGCAGAAACGTTCTAAACTGGTCATTTGCATTTTACCCCTGTGGTACATATTCTTTATAGTTATGAACTTTCAATTTCTACGTATCTTTGCTATATCCGCTTACAAAACATCAAAGTCCAAAGATTTTCAGGACAGATCAGGACACTAGCTTGTGAACTTCTATTGAGATTTGCCAAAGTGTCACACAGTTTCATAATCTGCGCGTCTTAGTTCTCATATCTGCTAAACTAAATCAATTTCAAGAAGACGTTTTCTCGCATCGGCTACACCTTTGCCTTTTCTTCTAGTATCTTTGCCAAATCCTGTTCGAAGGAGTATCCAAACATGTCAAAGTCCTCCTGGAAGATGTCCCGGAGAGGCAGTATGTCTTCTATCGGGACTTGGCCGTAAATGCCCCCGAAAACATTGTCATCGTTAGCTTGTCTCTGCCGCTGTTCCGGCAGAATGTCTTCATTCGCTGTGATGTTGTTCTTCTTTAGGAAAAGTCGAACATCTGAAGCGATCGTGTCCGTGTGGGCTATGAAGTCGTAGTTAATCTAAGGGGAGAAATCTGCGTTAGAACTCACACATGTACAAGGCTTCTGGGAATTCCTTTTACTTAATATTCGTATGCAACAATTGAGTGTGTGTGTGTGTGTGTGTGTGTGTGTGTGTGTGTGTGTGTGTGTGTGTGTGTGTGTGTGTGTGAGTGAGTGAGTGAGTGAGTGAGTGAGTGAGTGAGTGAGTGAGTGAGTGAGTGAGTGAGTGAGTGAAGAATGAGTGAATGTATCAAATACCTGGCATGGTAGGCAGAGTCTGTTAAATGATATCCAGTGCTCATTGTCAAACATCTTCTTCGAAACTGCAAAAAGGAAGTCTCTGAAAGACACTGGTTTTGTGTCGTTGAATGTCCCTTCTTCCTTCACTTTGCTTTTGCTTGACTAGAATACAAACACTACATTTACCTTTGTGATTGAATCGGGAAACAACAGACGCCATGTACATCATGATCTTATAACTTATAACTCTTATAGTTTTCTGATTGAGGGACTATAGAAGTCACATACATCATTATTATATTATAACCATCCCTTAATAGAGGCTGGGTGCGCCATTAACTTTCTGCAAAGTTATGATCCAGTGCTCACCGAATCACTTGTCCTATCTGCATGATGTATATGACTTTATGTCACTCCTCGACAAAAAAAAACTGGAGCTTTTCTATTTTCTTATTGTATTGGGAGCTACAGTTCAATCCTGCTTCTATAAACACGAGCTTTCTAGCTAACATTTTCTTTTAACTCTGATCACCAGAATCACGTAATGTGATCGTACTGTGATGTGTCGAAGAACTCCATTGATTGACTTAAATCCTGTGTACTACAAGGCTGAGGCAATAGAAATCATTGCCAAGGCCACAACTTAATGATATATATTATTTCATGTGGTGGAGCTAGCAATCTACATCACAATTATAAGAAAAACAGATTTCCCTATCTTATAAACACATGCATGTAGTGAAATTTACAGGATGGATGGAGGAGGTGTGGGGCAATATACCAAATACGCGTATAGGAGGAATCAGTCGTTCTTCTCCAGCAATATAGATTTTATGATGACATACTTACTTACTTTACTTTGGTCGAGTTCCCGCTCGAACCAAACTTAAAACCATCGATCCTTCACTTCACTCTATCCTCCACAAGAGACTGGATTTTACATCTGAAGTTGTTACTCCTAGGACTTGTTTGACCTTTGTGGGTCCCCAAAGGACAGATAATTTCGTTTCTCTGTGCGATCTGTTTAAATAAACCCACCCCCACTAGCCTAAATGTTCTTGGGAAGGGAACGTCAGATTCCTGATCAAGTGGATTTAGACCAAAGATAGCTGTGCTCTCTGTCCATGGTCCATGGTGTGGGGAGAAGACAGATGGCCAGTAATTAATCATGCCAGGCAGCTGGATGGGTGGCACGTGGGCACATACAGGGTGTAAGTTACCTGCTTCATCCAAAAACCACATGGCCGAAGGTTACCTCAGAACCAATTCCCTAGGGAATGCATTCGTGCAATCTTTCAAAGCGATCGTAGTACTTGCACAAATGCCTCCGCCCCAAAGGCGTCGCCAAAAATACAAGAATGTTTGTCAATATAACGACGTATGTCAATACTGAGAAAATAGGTCGTACCTTGTCTGGTAGTTTGCGCTCTCGGTAGATTCTCAGATAATAGTTTAAACTCTTGACCCAACCCCAATATCCGTTACGTTTTGGCATGTACACGAATTTGTTGGTCCACGCAGACGCCAACCTACGATAAGCATAACAATGGCTAGAATTGTTCATTTAGAATTCAAGGATTCTGGGTTCGAGTCCCCATAGTTGGTGCTCAAATGTTGCGCCCGTCGGGAAGGCACCAATTAAGGTAAGATTAGAGTTCCAAATTCAACAAATGATGGTAACATTTACGACTGACAAATCGTGACCATTCGTTATGCAAATAAGGTCCTTATTTCAATAAATTCATATTCTCCACCCAAATTACAAGTGTTGTCTGAAGACACTCTTATCTTAACAAAGAAGGCATTCTATCATGCCCTCATCAATTATGTCAACGAGACCCTGATTTCCGTGAATAGTTTCATCAGGTTGGTAAGTCACTGAATAAAGAGACTCTTTTTACACAATTATGAGGAATATTGTAGATTGTTCCCCGTAACCGCGTAGATATGTAAATACAAATCTAAGCTGTACGATGTGATCTAGTCAAAATTGCCCTAATCGATGAGGAAGGTAACAGACAATCAGCGAAACGTCCGCTAAAATATCCTACTGGTGGTGCAAAAAAGAGTCTATTTAGGGACCCTGGTCATGATTCGTACGGAAAATTCGCCTCACCTCTCCAACGGGTCGCGGACAACGATGATCTTCCTGTAGGTCGCGAGGCGCAGACTTGCTTCCTCCTCGCTGTAGCTGTTCAATGTTTTAAACCGCTGCATGTGGATCCATTCATTTGTATGCTCGTGACGAGCCGTGTAGTTATCCTTGTTCGCTAAAAATTCAGCATGACTAATATCGATCGACCGTTCAGTTTTATTGCGCTCCAGATTGTAAAATAACGTTTTCATGGTTGTGCACCCGGTTTTGGGGACATAGCAGTAGGCCGTTTGGATATTTTCAAGAAACACTAGATGACTTTTAACTTGGGTTTTCGATGGATCCACCTGAAAAGCAAAATTAAAAACAAAACAATAGAAAGAAACTTAGCCTCAGGCGCAATGGATTAACTCAACTAGCCACGACCATTCAAATTAAAAGTTCAAATTCTTCACGCACCTTTCGATAGTGACAAGTGTAAGTTATTCGAAGAAATTTGACATATATTTTCCATATGAAATACATGTAATTTAAGTTCAGAAAACCAAAATCATAAATTCAAATAGATCATGCTAATTACAACCTTATTTCCATAATCAAGGGGACAAGTCCAAAACGCAAATATTCGCAAAAGCTCAAAGTCATTTATGTCCAACTTCTTACTGTACAAAGAACCATCGTAACGTACCGAGTTCTTCGCACAGTACGCCTTTAACGTGGCGAGTCTGCGGGACTGTTCCTTCTCGGCTTCCGCCAAGATGTCCCAATTTTCTCGAGAAAAAATTCATAACAACACGTATCTGTCATGGTCATCAATCTTTCTGTAAACATTCTAAATGGATTGGATTTTTGCAAGCGTTAATGCCACACCAATTAACTTCCTTTTAAAACAGGAGCATCAAGCAACATCAAAACATTTAAGCAGTTCCCGTATGGAAATCTCTAATGTAACAGCTTAGCTCCAAAAAGTGCCTAACTGGACAATTTATGTTTTCATACAGTATCAGGGAGTAAATGCAGCTAGACAAAAGTTTTTATTGAATAGACAGTCCTAAAAGAGGCCTCCATAGCACCATTGTTATATGACGGTGTGATAACACTGTGAATTAATTAGAATGACCAGGAAACGGACAGTTGTCAGGTAAACGCCATTATTGGTCCATGAGAATGGAATAAATGTAAAAAAAGGCAATACGAAGTAAACACACTTCGAATTCATTTACCTTTTTCACCAGCCAAGGCACCAATTACTATTTCTTCACTGACTTTAGGTGATAGTTTGACTCCGTTGTTGCTGAGGTACATGTACAGGTAGGCGGCTCCAGCGCTCAGTATCAGGAAGGACAGAAATAGGAACTTTCGAGTTGGCCGAAAGAACTTTTGAGTTAGCCGAAAGAAACCCATCTTAACTATGTGTTAACAATGACGTTTTACAACTAGGTCTGTGGCTTGGGTAGCAGGAACTACGATTTGTCACGTGACACCTTCTGCGTCTTCCAGAGCCGCTTAAAATATTCAACTGTTGGTCCACTTGGATACCTGCAAGTTTGAGAAAACAATGTTGCACTGTAAAGTATAAAGTAAGTGATAGTGATGTTTTATACCCAAGGCAACAAACTGTGTTCTGTAATGTTTTATAACCAAGGCGATGAACTTTGTTCTGTCATGCTAGGCAGGGGCTTGTGGAGACACTTCATGGCGTCACCTTGGTAAAAAGCATGAACTGAACTGAACTGAACTTCTATCCAAGTAATCTACACGTTCTTTAGTAGAAGTGGTAGTTGTGTTAGTAGTAGTAGTATTAGTAGTAGTGGTAGTGGTAGTAGCAGCAGTAGTGGTAGTAGTAGTTGTTGTAGTAGTAGTAGTTGATACAAGACTTTATCGTTAGGTCTCCGTCTGTGATCTTCGAAGATGTTAAAAAGTTTCTAGACAGAGCACACACAACTATACCATTAGGGTCGCCCCTGAGGCGTCGCCAAATATAAAGACCTACAGTCCCTGCAAATACTAGAAAAGTATACACAGGTGTGTTTTGAAATATTTATCATCTCTGTTTGCCATTTTCTCTTTGAATTCATCATTCACAATTAGAAACTTCAGGGCAGTAAAACAGGTTTTCAAAGTCAATTTTCTGGTCATTTTTAAATGTAATAAGTTAAATTAATCCTGTCCCATAGCATACTGATATCTGCGAGGCAGAAATGTAATGTCGCTGATGATGCACTCTTTTCTTTGACAGGGATATTATACTATAGGGTTTTCTCCCTGGGACTTCTGTGCAGGTGTCTCGCTAGTTTTATCTATAGGAGCTCGCGAATATTCTCTCTACTCAGATATGGGACTAAAACCGCACGTGTGCGCATAAAACTAAAACATTGACGCGTAGGGCATAATTGAACCCCGACTCGCGATCGTACGCGGAATGTCTACATTTTAAAGAAGCAATGGTGTACGTAATATGATTTTTTTCGACCGTGCCGTATTTCGTAGATTTGAGAAAGGAAGAGGTGCAATAGTTTAATTTCTCAACCATATTCCAAACGTCTCGTCTCAAATCTACGACGTACATGTATAGCACGGTCGTCGCGGCAAAAGCCTCATCGCAGATACATCATACAGTGTACATGTATGTGTCCTCAGCTTAACGAGTTGTAAGGTAATATATGTATTAAAACTCAACTTGAGACCACAAATTTTGCATACCTGTAATGTTAGAAATTTCCTTGTGGATGCTCTCGTCTCGTACTTCAGCCGTGTTCTTGTCGTTCTGCTCACTGTGGTCCAATACGTGCCACATCCTGGTATTGGTTTGTTGACAGGTTGTCACATTTGTTGACATCTTGTCACCCCGCAAGACGCAGACAATATAACAGTACCAAACACAGTCCGCTACTGTAATGCTGAGACTGTTGGACACAATAAACTAAGGCAATGCCACCCGGATGAAATCAATATCAGTATCAGTATCTTTTGACATACATACCCACATTTCTAATATTGATCGCAAATGTGGGCCATTTGAACGACCTTCCCCTTAAGCTTGTTTTCCACATCATATAGCATTGCTTTAGGAGTCTTTAGGAATCTTATCCTATACCCTAACCCTCTACGCCACGAAACATCACGATGTGAATGGGCCGTGCTGATACGCTTAGATTAAGTTTGTCTTGCCCATCATTAGGACATAGCCTGTCATCGTCCACACGGCGTATGATAGTCTATTTCATTTCATTTTTCATATATTCATTTTGCTAGGAAATAAACATTCAGGGCAAAACGCTGGTTTTCAGAAGTTCATGGGAATAGGGGTTCCAAACTTAGTCACTTCTTCCATTCGGGCGGGGTTCACTTCTTACTACCAAACACCACACTTAGATCTGGCACACGTGTTAACATGTAATACATACAACATTTCAGTTTTGCTTGATGCAAAAATAATAGCTTTGGTCACTAGCTCGATGGTCGCTCCACGGTCGCCACCCCAGTGGAAAGGACCGAGTATTATTATGAAGAGCACCTCGTTAATAAACGTGATTTACTGAGGCTAACGATTGTTGCACACCAGCAGTTTTATACCCTAAGCCTTGAGGAGTTCATGTATTTCCTTTAGAAGACCTTGTAATAAATTTTGTGATGACTCGTGGGTAAAGACAGGTCACCGCGGAACCTATACTGTTAATGTACACATGGGACAAACATTCCACTGCATGAAATTCAGCACTGCATCTTATTACTTAATATATTGTTTGGTTTCACATGAAATAAATAAATTGTGTTTGTAATTATAACTTTCTTTACGACTTTGCGTGGACAATCCCTTGTCCTATTGAATCTTATCAACACAGATCGCTCAAGTTAAATTCAACTTAGCTTCAATAGTAAGTAATTAGTTATCAATAGTTGAAAGTTAGCTTTACCTTGAAATAGAGCTAAACTCGCTACGAAAAAAACTGGTACAATTTAAAACAACGTTGTACAGATAGTGTTTCAGTCTTTACGCGAAATCATGTTGAGTAAATGAGTAACAGAAACCAAATTATAAAACATTAACTCATAAAAGAAAAAAATCAAAATCAAGCAGAAACGTTCTAAACTGCCCCTGTGCCTTTTTATCTTCCCTCTACGGTAATATGTACATATGTGTTATAGTTATATACTTTCGTTTTCTGTCTTTGCCAAATTATGACCTAGACATGCCGGGGTCGCGAATTTTGGATGGTAGATGTCTTGGGTGGTCAGATCGGATGCTTGTGTCGGATAATTATGCAAATCTAGAGCTAATTTACATAATTCTGTATTCTATAATAGGTCCATGGAACACTTGTGACATATGTTATTGGGAATGAGAGGAGCATCTGAATGTTTGTTTAAAAATGTAAGGGAGGATCCGGAAAAATCAAGAACCCGCTGACGGATTGTCATGATTTTTAGTACGTAGGTACCTTAAGTGATTCTTAACATAATTAGATTATAATTATGCAAACCAGGCCCATGGAACACTTGCGACACTTGGGAAAGAGAGGAACATCTGAGTATATAGTGAATATATAGATTATGTAAATGAAGACCTAATTTGCATAATCAATGGCAAATTGCTATAATTTCATAGTGGAAACTGCCACATTTGGAAGCTGAGTGAAGGTAAACATCAATAAACATAATTTATACAAATCATAATCTCATTTGCATAATTCATGAGGGAGTGCTAGAACAGCCTTTCCTATTAAGATAAAGCTGTCATTGGGGGGAGAATATGACCAACTGATATAATCCATGTTGATTACAAGAGGCTAGCATATTTTCTAATTATAAGCGATTCATTTTGATAAGGCAAAGCAGACTAATTAAATAAAGCGAAGGTTTTTGTGGTATATGTATATTTTTCGGAGGAGGGTTAACGTTGACTGATAGGAAAGCAGATCACATCTATAAGCAATTCTTTCTGCATTTTTGGCCTTTTTCGTTGAGTATTGACCATGGTAAATCTATTCCTAAATGTCAATACCTTTCGCTATGGCTGAACAGTCCTATACGAGAATGACCGTCTCTGCCACATAGGGCACAGCTTTACTCAGCTGACTCAGTATTCTTTTCCTAACATCCGTTGCAAGGCCACTGTTCCAGGCCTCAGTTTTCAGGGAAGTTCAAGAAAGTGGTTCGGGTTTCCCTCCATGGTGAGGCACAGGATTTGTCAGCTTTGCAGAACTTGACTGGGTCGGCGACAGAAGACCCTCCCGGTAGAGATGCGCGGCGTACTCGTGGAGTGTGCACGCCTTCCTGATATCCTCGCAAAGGACACAGTATGGTCTGCAGAGGATCCCACGGCACGGTGACATCTTTGAGGGTTCGGGGCCTTTTTGCTTGTGTTGCTGAATTCTGAGACTCCTGTCTCTAAGTAGGATAAAATAACAATGATGCCATACCTTCATCCAAGTACAAAACGCGGAGTCCATGTTAAATCCGGCATTCCAGGCAGTTTCACCGATGTAGATAGGAGCGAAGTCACCAGACTTCCGGTTACACTGAGTTTTCATCGTTGTTTGTAGCCACCGGAAGTGAGCAAGCTCGTCCCAGAAGTCACTACCCGTCTTTTTGATCTTCCTCCACAATGTCCTGTTGAAGTGTTCGTAGAGCGCGTAGTCGATGGCGTCGTGCCGGCGGTAGTTTTCTACAAGCTGCTTCGGGAAGGAAGTGTTCCCGAGATCGTATTTAAAGCTGTTGTATTTAAAGTTGAGAATGTCCTGCATGTCCCAACACAGCTGCCGCCTCAGCAGCACCAACGATTCGTCGAAATACTCCATCACCATCACGAGGTCAAACTCTCGCGAGATTTTGTCGACAAAGTCACGGATGTTGTCGTTCTTTACCCCGGATGTTGGGTTCTTCAAGGGGAATCCCAACTCTATTGCCATGTTGTTTTTTATTAAGTAACCTGAAGGTCCTTTGATATTGTTTTCATACTTTTCTGGGTGCTCCAGGAACTTTAACAAGGCGTTCGGTCCGGGAATGTGGTACGTCTTGTCCAACTTGTAAAAGTTGAAGGCAGACTTCAGACGGTCCATGGGCTCTCTGATGATGGTTACAAACGTAGCGTTCGCAGAGAGCAGCTTCGTTATCGTTGCTCGGTCGTAGACGGTGTGATGCGTCAAGATGTCGAACTCCTTCTTTTCCGGCGGAATGTACTTGTTCGGGTCCCGAATGCCGTACGGATACAAGTGGTTGATGTTGTTCGATCTCGGCAGCACGAACGAGAGGTTCCGAAGATAGCCGAAGCGCTGAAATATTTGCATCAGAGAGCTGCTTCCCGTCTTGTGGGTTTTGATGAAGGCAATTTTGGTTTCAGGGCGGCAAGCACGTAACCGTGATCCTGGGATAGGTGGCACAAATTTCACCATTACACCATTTTTATGTGGCGGCGTGATAATACTGTGATTTAACTAGAAAGGCCAACATTTGCTGGGGAGCAAATGCAGCAGATGGCTTTACCACATCCCCTGTACCAAAAATGGATCTATACCTCTCTCGCACAAATGGACTGTTCCTAAATCACCCCTGTCCAAAATATGAAGTGTTCCAATAGTATATACCCCATGCAGCAATGGAATCTTCCAATGTGTTCTGCTGCTGGAAAATGTAGAACCCGAGTGTTCTATTTAGAACAGTCAGTTGGGGATTTGCGTTTTCAAGCTACAATGGCTGTTTTTACTCAAAATAAGGTAAATGAAAATATTTTAAACGGTTGAATCTGAATATTGAACACTATAGTCTAAGCATTTGGTGCCAAGCTACCTTTATGGTGAATTTCACGTCAATTGGTTTTCACATTAGCGCATAGGAGCCAGAAAATGTACATTTTTGGTCAAAATAGCAAAAAATGTCCAAATTTACATAATTTTGAAATGACATACACCAAAAGCATTGATGACGTTCTGTGGGATTCTATCTAAGGATATCCCGTGTCATTTGTTTTGAATATTAGGGCACAGGTGCCAAAAATGTACATTTTTGGTCCGAAAATAGTCAAAAAGCCCTATGTTACACAATTTTGAAGTGATGTATGTCCAAAGTATGAGTATCATTTTTTGGACATGTGTCCAAGGTATCCCCATACCAAATTCCAGGTCATTCGGATTCAATATTAGGGCCAAAAATGTACATTTTCTGTCCAAAAATAGACAAAAAGCCCCATTTTACACAAATTAAAAATGGCGTATGTCAAAAGCTTGAATGCCATTCTGTAGAAATTTGTCCAAGGTATCCCCATACCAAATTTCAGGTAATTTGATTTTAGTACTAGGGCTTCAGGTCCCAAAATGTATATTTTTTGCCTGAAAATGGCAAAAAAGAAATAATTTTAAAGGCATGTTTTAAAAATATGAAAAAAAAAACGTCTGGAGGTATTTGCCCACTCTACCTCCATGCCAAATTTCAGGTCATTTGGCTGAAAATGGCAGAGTTGAATCCCTTTAAAGAACTGGCAGGAGAAGAAGAAACACCAGAGAACACAATAATAATGTAGCTTTAGAATGACCAGGAAACGGACAGGAGTCAGATAAACCCTATTATTGGTCCATGAGAATGGAATAAATGTAAAAAAAAGGCAATACTAAGTAAACACACTTCATTTACCTTTTTCACCAGCCAAGTTACCAATTACTATTTCTTCACTGACTTTAGGTGATAGTTCGACTCCGTTGTTGCTGTACAGGTAGGCGGCTCCAGCGCTCAGTATCAGGAAGGACAGAAATAGGAACTTTCGAGTTGGCCGAAAGAAACCCATCTTAACCATATGTTAACAATGACGTTTTACAATTAGATCTGTGGCTTGGGTAGCAGGCACTACGATTCGTCACGTCACACCTTCTGCGTCTCCCAGAGTCGCTTAAAATATTCAACTGTTGGTCCACTTGGATACCTGCAAATTTGAGAAAACAATGTTGCACTGTAAAGTATAAAGTAAGTGATAGTGATGTTTTATACCCAAGGCAACAAACTGTGTTCTGTAATGTTTTATAACCAAGGCGATGAACTTTGTTCTGTCATGCGAGACAGGGGCTTGTGGAGACACTTCATGCCATCACTTTGGTAAAATGCATGAACTGAACTGAACCTATAGCCAAGTAACCTGCACGTTCTTTAGTGGTAGTAGTATTGGTAGTAGTAGTAGTAGTGGTGGTGGTGGTAGTAGTAGTGGTGGTGGTAGTAGTAGTAGTAATAGTAGTAGTGGTAGTAGTAGTTATGTATCGCTAGGTCTCGACCGTCTGTGATCTCCGAAAGGTGTTAAAAAGTCTTTTGATAGATTACACACAAGTTAACTATACCATTAGAGTCGCCCCTGAGGTGTCGCCAAACATAAAGACCTACAGTCCCTACAAATATACACAGGTGTGTTTTTAAATATTTATCATGTTTATCATTTTCTCTTTGAATTCATCATTCACAATTAGAAACTTCAGGGCAGTAAAACAGGTTTTCAAAGTTATGATCAATTTTCTGGTCATTTCTGAATGTAATAAGTTAAATTAATCCTGTCCCATAGCTTACTGATATCTGCGAGGCAGAAATGTGATGCCGATGATGTACTCTTTTCTTTGACAGGGATACTATACTAGGGTTTTCTCCCTGGGACTGCTGTGCAGGTCTCTCGCTAGTTTTATCTATAGGAGCTCGCGAATATTCTCTCTACTCAGATATGGGACTAAAACCGCACGTGTGCGCATAAAACTAAAACTTTGACGCGTACGCAGAATGTCTACATATCTTATTAGCGGAGTGTCCACACATTCTTCTTAGACCACTTACCAAATTATTCAACTTGTTTCTGTCCAATGGCTATTTCCCCCAGGAATTGTGTAATAGTCACATTGTCGCCCCACATAAGGGCGGGGCAAAAGATGATCCCAGTAACTATAGGGGGATATCAGTTACTAGCTGTTTGGCCAAGCTATTTACTTCCGTACTTAACTCACGCCTCACCACTTTCCTAGATGAAAATAAACTTATATCGCCCAACCAAGCTGGCTTTAGGACCAAATTCAGAACGAGCGACAACCTCTTTGTAATAGACACACTTCTAAGTAAATATCTTTCGGAAAATAGACGTATTTATTCATGTTTCGTTGACCTTAAGAAAGCCTTCGACTCCGTTTGGAGAGAAGGACTCCTCTGCAAATTGCTAGATTCGGGAGTAGGCGGAAAAGTTAATTAAATGCATGTACTCCAAACCTCAGACATGCGTCAAAACATCATCCGGGCTAACGCCGTCCTTTGCATCTGTGAAAGGTGTTAGACAAGGGTGTAATCTTAGCCCGACGCTTTTTAATCTTTTCATAAATGATTTAGTACATGTACTTGATGATATTGAATGCTCACCGCCCTCTCTACATAGTTTATTTGTATCGTGTCTGTTATACGCAGACGACGTTGTATTACTTTCCGAGTCCGATAAAGGACTGCAAAGCTCTCTAAATAGATTGAAAGACTTCTGTGCCAAATGGAAACTTCAAGTTAATTTAAAGAAAACGAAAGTTATTATTTTCAACAGATCTGGTCGGTCTTTCCCACACCAAAGTTTTATGTTTGGACAGGACAAAGTGGACATAGTCCACTCCTACTGCTACTTGGGCTTGAATATTACCTCATCCGGTAGCTTCTCTCTTGCAAAAAAACAGTTCTCACTCAAAGCAAGGAAAGCCATGTTTAGTCTCAAATCTTTACAACGTTCTTCTGTCTCTCCGAAGTGCCTGCTTAGAATATTTGACGCTTGTATCAAACCAATACTCCTGTATGGGTGTGAAATCTGGGGAAAAGATCCTGTAAATGAGACCTCACCAATCGAAAGTTCCCATAACCGTTTCTGTAAGAATGTACTTGGGGTGCATAGAAATTGTAGTAATGTAGCTGCTAGAGCAGAACTAGGAAGACTCCCGTTAGATTTAGATATATCCCTTCGTACTGTTAAATTCTGGACACACTTGACACAACGTAATACCGATACACACCCTTTGCAAGTTGATGCACTCCTGTTACAACGTAATTCCCTGACATGTAGTCGTAGGCGGACATTGTCATTGTTACAGTGAGTGAAGGAGATCCTCGACCACTGTGGATATTCCTACCTACTGCATATTGATAGTACAACCTGTACAACTTCAACATATGTATATTTTATATACAATATATGACAATTACCTGCTGTCTGTTGCATTGTACGACTTCGTTAAGTAACTGCAACAATGTAACACAGTGTTTGATAAGTGGAACAAGGGTAACTCAGACTTGGATAAGTGGAACAATCGGTAAGAAAATAAGTCTTGGTTTGTATTCCATAGCAAGTATAACACCTCGACATCAAACCGTTAGTACTTCTACTGTGACAAGTCAAAGTAAGACGCTGAACCTCCTGAGTATCTGTGTATTGTTGCTTTCCGGAGATATCTGCCCAAACCCAGGTCCTCCTCAACTGACTGTAGCTACAACAAATGCAAGAAGTTTGAATCCCAACGGTAGCCAAGGAGCGACCAAACTCAATGAACTTGAACTCCACTTACAAAATGAGAACATTTCCATCATCGGACTGACAGAAACGTGGTTTAATGATTCCGTTCTAGACTCCGACATCAATCTGCCCGGCTACACTCATCTATACAGAAAAGATCGTCAAGGCCAAACTGGTGGTGGAGTAGCCTTACTTGCCAGTGAACACCTTACCTGTAAACACAGACCGGACCTTGAGTCTTGCAACGACCAATGGCAGGACCTGTGGATAGAAACTCATGTGGGCAGCAACAAGATCCTTGTAGCATGTGTCTATCATCCTCCATCCGCCCCGGTCCACTTCTTCGACCAATTTGAACAAAGTGTTACCAGAGCGGTGTCGGAAAAGGGACAAGTCGTCATTGTTGGGGACTTCAATTGTCATCATACAGCCTGGGGGGGAACGACCACTGACCAAAACGGACATTCTCTGGCGGACATACTAGATAGAAACGGACTCCACCAGTCCCAGCATGAGGCTACAAGGATTACACAGACCAGTAGTAGTGTACTAGATTTAGTCATATTATCTGACCCCGGTAGGATTAATCACATTTACACGTTAGCACCTCTAGCTACTTCTGATCATTGTCTAGTAGTTTGCAAGCTCAATATGCATTTACCTAGTAACAATGTTAGGCGACATGTATGGCTGTATGACAAAGCAAATTTCGATACTTTCCGACATGAGCTATGTAAAGTGAATTGGTCATCTTGTATGACAGGTTCTGTTAACAACATGTGGTACAACTGGAAGGAAAAATTTCTCAATATTGCTAAAAACACAGTTCCTAACAAAATTGTCAAAGTATGTAACCGACCCCACAAGCCCTGGATTAACCCCGACCTGTTAGACATGATCCGGCAAAAGACCGAACTGTACCAATTCTATAAGTCGTCTCGAACACAGGAAAATTGGACTAACTACACCACATTCAAGAATCGGCTTACCTCCGAACTCCGCAAAGCAGAGCGAGAGTACTATGCGTCCATCGGCGACAAGATCAGAGCCCCCGGGAGGATCCAAACTTCTGTGGTCCGTTACTTAGTCAAGCTGAGTGGAAAGGGGAAGACGAACATTCCAGCACTCTCCAACCAGGGCCAACTAGTCGATAAAGACACTGACAAAGCCGAACTCTTAAACCAAATGTTCGTCAATGTCACCAAGGACGCAAAGCGTCCAGACAGGACAAAGAGACTTCCTATGTTCACATCAGAGCAGTTAAACGTGCTCCAGTTCTCTGCAGATGATGTCCTTCAAGTATTACTAAATCTTCACACCAACAAAGCTGCAGGTCCGGACGGGATTTCCAACAGGTTACTGAAGGAGGCTGCGCCAGCAATTTGTACTTCCTTGAGGGATTTATTTAACCACTCGATGCTTTCCGGAGTCTTTCCGACTGAATGGAAACAATGCAACATAACCCCTGTTTTCAAGAAAGGAAACCGAACGGACCCCCACAACTACAGACCGATAGCTTTGTTGCCAACTGTGGCTAAAGTGCTGGAAAGATTGGTTCACAACAACTTGTACTCCCACCTTGAGGACAACAAATTGCTCAACAACCATCAGTCAGGATTCCGGAAGGGCGATGGTACCGTGCTTCAACTGATTCGACTAGTTGATGACTGGGCCAAATCCATCGAGGACCCCGAGATAGCGTGTACAGCGGCAGTGTTTCTAGATGTCCGCCGTGCCTTTGACACTGTCTGGCATCAAGGGCTCATATACAAGCTGACCCGCTATGGGGTAGGAGGCCAGTTACTCGACTGGTTCAACAGCTACTTGACGGACCGACAACAACGAGTGGCTATTAACGGCGTTACCTCATCTTGGGGGACAACCTCAGCCGGAGTTCCGCAAGGGAGTATACTCGGGCCTCTCCTTTTCCTTGTATATATCAACGACCTCCAAAACCTTCCTTGCAAGTCCAAGATCAATTGTTTCGCAGACGATACTTCCTTGTACAAAACAGCAAGAACAGTACAGGAAGTAGCTGACACGGTAAATGCCGACTTACGCACAGTCTCTACCTGGTTTGTAGATTGGAGATTAGAACTACATCCAGACAAATGCAAGGTTGTCTGCATCAAGTCAGACAGAAAGAACATCCAGCTCCCTCCCCTGTATATCTTTGGAAAAGTCGTCGAACAGGTCCCGTCATATACTCACCTTGGTGTCACCATCCACCAATCTCTGAGATGGCTTGAACATGTACTTGCACTATCCAGCAAAGCCAGGAAACTGCTAGGCGCTCTCTGCAAACTCAAAGGAAAACTGAGTAGAGAGGCCCTTGAACTAGCCTACATCACCATGATTAGATCAAAGATAGAGTATGCATCAGTACTGCTAGGAGACCTCGGCAGCACGGCTAGCGCTACTCTAGACAAAGTTCAATACCATGCTGGCTGCCTTACAACAGGAGCCATGAAGGGGACCCCCAGTACGAGCCTCCTACGAGAGCTCGAATGGGACAGCCTGTCTACCAGGAGACACTACCACTCCATGGTGTTAATGTACAAGATGACGCATGGTCTAGTCCCAGTGCACCTGCAGTCACTCATCCCCTCCACTAGAGGCGAACGGAGAACGACTCGTCTACAGCTACGCAACACTACACATCTTCATGTTCCCCGCTGTAGAACGAAGGTGTACCGGTCCAGTTTTATTCCACATGCTTCTACCCTTTGGAACCGCCTTCCACAGGCACTGAAGGAAGCCAGCAGCCTAAACGACTTCAAGAGAAAGTGCAAGGATTACCTGTTCACTCCGAGACATAACCAGCCGTACAGACGTCTAGGTACTCGGTACTACAACATCCTAACTGCAAGACTAAGAATGGACTGGAGCCCACTAAATGCCACCTTGCACTTGATGAATATCAAAGACAAAATGTGCTCCTGTGGTACTTCTTCTGAGACTGTTTCCCATTATTTACTACGCTGTCCTCTTTACAGCTGCCAGCGTCACATTTTAACCTCCACAGTAGAGCAACTCACATCACACCGTCTAACCGAATCTGTTCTACTACAGGGGCTACCAGGCTGTAACATGCACACAAACAAACAACTATTTGAGGCATTTGAAACATTTATTTCCACCACAAAACGTTTAGATGGCCCTTCCCGTGGTACCACATAAGTTAACCTTCTACAATCTTACGTTATACATGTATATATTTCCTCACATACTGTATTATATCCAATTGCCCTTGACCTCTGACCTCCAAAACATTAATTGCTATTATTATCTTGATTGAGTACTTTATTATGCTTGGTTGTATTTTATATTGATAACTGATTGATTTTAGCTTAATCTTTACTTGTTAGTTTACTGTATTAGTATGTTATTGTGTATGTTTAATCTTTGTATTGTTTGGCGCCCGAAATCAGCTATGCTGCCTGGGTGGCCAGTGTATTGTATCGTCGCAATCGAATTAAATAAATAAATAAACATATGTATAAAGTATTAAGGACAAGACTTTCAGACATGTACATTTAAACTTTCTTCCATAGTTTGTCTGTAAACGGTAAACTGAGATTCTATAGAAAATGTAAAACTGAATACTGTCTACAACAATATCTAGAACACTGTGACTTTTTATTTAGCAATTATTTAACAATTATTTAGCACCGTGTCCAAAATGCTCCCTTACTTCCCCACCATTCCCTACCACAAAAAAAAACAATTTTACTACTAAAATCAAAGAACCCACATATTATACAAGAAGTGAGTAAATTCGTCTTCCACTGCCTAAAAAGAAGAAGTCAAACCCAGTAAAACTAGTACCATGCATGTTGTAGAATATAGTATAATGCTAGACGTAGATATAGTCTCACATACCACTGTATTTTCTTTCTTATGTTGTTTGTAACTGCAATCTAATTAGCCCTCGGGCAAGTATTTGCAATAACCTTTCATCATATCAAAGAAGCAATGGCACGCTGTCACTGTAAATCCCCGGTGTACGCGATATGATTTTTCGATCGTGCCGTATTGCGTAGATTTGAGAAAGGAAGAGGTGCAATAGTTTAATTTCTAGACCATATTCCAAACGTTTCGTCTCAAATCTACGACGTACATGTATAGCACGGTCGTCGCGGAAAAAGCCTCATCGCAGATACATCATACTGTGTACATGTATGTGACCTCAGGTTATCGTGTTGTAAGGTACTACATGTATTAAAACTCAACTTGAGACAACAAATTTTGCATACCTGTAATGTGAAGATTTCCTTGTGGATCCTCTCGTCTCGTACTTCAGCCGTGTTCTTGTCGTTCTGCTCACTGTGGTCCCATACGTGTCACATCCTGGTATTGGTTTGTTGACAGGTTGTAATTTTGTCACCCCACAGGACGCAGACAATATAACCAAGGACATTATACACAGTATAATGTCCTTGATATAACATACCAAACACAGTCCGCTACTGTAATGCTGAGACTGTTGGACACAATAAACTAAGACAATGTCACCCGGATGAAATCAGTATCAGTATCTTTTGACATACATACCCACATTTCTAATATCGATCGCAAATGGGGACCATTTGAACGACCTTCCCCTTAAGCTTGTTTTGCACATCATTGCTTTAGGTGCTAGCCTAGGCCTGTCATCGTCCACACGGCGTATGATAGTCTATTTCATTTCATTTTTCATGTATTCATTTTACCAGGAAATACACATTCAGGGCAAAACCTTGGTTCACCGATTACGTCATCCCACAATGCTTTGCGGCACAAGATGGCGTCGTCGTCGTCTGCCGAGGCTTTGTTCTTTTGTTTACGTGTTTTGGGCGGTGAATTCGGACTGTTAACACCAAAATGACGACGTTTACCCTCGAAGAACTGTTGGAGGAGGTCGCTACTGTTGATTTAGCCTATGGTTAACGTATATCAGACCCCGATTCCATCGAGAGTGAAAGTGAGACGGATCGTGTTAGCAGACAGGGGAGGAAATGTGCTAACACGTGTACACGGAACCAGATAGCATAATTTGGTGAATATGTGACATCGGCTTTGGAGCTACTAATGACCGTGGTCGTGCTAGGGGTAGAGGTCGGGGCCGAGGTCGGGGGTGTGGAAGAGGCCAAGCAACAAAGGAACGTGGCACTAACAGGCGAGGTTGCAGCCGGCCAGCTGATGGGGATTTAAATCCCAGAGCCGCCCCTCAAGCTGCAACTAATCCAAGGTTTGATGGCACAAACTGGCCGACGGGGGATGAAAACAGCCTGACCAAGTCTTCCCATGTTTTCACTGCACAAAGTGGATTTAGTGGCAAGTTTTATTTCTATTTTATAGCAGCTTTTATGTAAAATTTTCCTTGGTATATATATATATATATATATATAAAGTATATTATACTTTTTATTGCCTTTTAACTGTTTATTGCCTTTGTAGTTTATATTGTCAAGTTGATATATATTCCTAGACATAGTATATACAATAAGCTTTCATATGATATGTAACAAGTATATATACCATCGATTACATAGGTACAGGAAGGAATGTATTATGTTGTATATGTTAGTTGGTTCAGCACCAAGGACAATATCCATCATAAACTTACCTGTAATGATACCTGAGTGCTGTATTTTTACATGTATGTAGTTCTAATAGTGTCAGGACATGTTAGGATCTGTTAAGTCAAGGCCCAAGTCATTCTTTGGTTGCTTATTGCTGATTGTATGGAAACAATATGGAAATTGTACCTTTTATTGCTTTTTACCTGTTTATTACCCTTATGGTCTATGTTATCAAGTTGACACACATTCCCGACTCTACTATAAGCTTCCATATGGTATGTAACAACTCTATGTACCATTTTTATAAAGGTACAGAAAGAAGTGTAATATGTTGTAATGAATCTGTGTCTTAGCTGAATAGTCAGTTCAGCACCTAGGACAATATCCATCATAAACTTACCTGTAATGATACCTGAGTGCTGTATTTTACATGTATGTAGTTCTAATAGTGTCAGGACATGTTAGGATCTGTTAAGTCAAGGCCCAAGTCACTCTGTGGTTGCTTATTGTTGATTGTATAGAAGCAAGGTGGAAATTGTACATTTTATTGCCTCTTTACCCGTTTATGACCCTTGTAGTTTATGTTATCAAGTTAATATACATTTCTAGTTATAGTATCTACTATATGCTTTCATATGGTATGTAACAAGTCTATGTACCATCTTTTATAAGGGTACAGAAAGAAGTGAAATATGTTGTAATAGATCAGTATTTTAGCTGAATAGTCAGTTCAGCACCTAGAACAATATCTGATCATAAACTTACCTGTAATGATACCTGAGTGCTGTATTTTCACGTGTATGTGATTCTCATAGTGTCAGGACATGTCAGCAATGTTATAGGTTTCATACTTATACTTTTTATATAGTTTAGGCATTATAATACAAAAAAAACTATGAAAACAGCTATTTTATTGCATTATTGCCCTTGTAATACATTACTATTGATGCCAGGCTACATTTGAAATATTTTTCTGTAAAGTACACATTCTTAGCTTTCCAATGATATCTGGCATGATATGGTAAGTTGAGGAGAAAATGACAAAAAGACAGTAATACAAAGGTAGTACCCCCTATTTCAAATGGGTCTGGAAACCCTGGCACAGAGGGGATGTATTGGTGAGAAACACTGGCAGCTAAAGGGTTAAGATGAAAGTACAGTACAGACAACTTCCTTACTCGTTTGTTCCCAGGTGCCTTATAACTTTGAGAGAATCCTGCACCTGTTCTCAGGCCAGGACTCTGCCCTGGTGGCCAGACTCATGAGGGAGTTTGAGGCTACAGGAAAGACTGTCATCCCTGGCAATCTACTTCACAAGGTTGGCCCAACATCATGTGTTATTTTTTCTTTACATAATGTCAATAAGAGTGACGTAAGTGTTGTAAGTCAATTTGAGTAATGTGAGTGATGAAAATGTTTAAGAATTGCTTTCAAACATGTTTTGATTTCTGTTACCGTAGAAAAAAAGTAATACAAACTCAATGTGCAATATATATATATATATATATATATAGTACTTCTTTGTTCAGTTTATACTTTGTGCTTCCACAATGCATGATTCCAATATCATATTGAAAATACCAACATCCTGATGCATTTAAGTTCTTTGTTAAACTGTATTTGTTGGTCTATAACATAGGCTGAAAAAAGAGAATCCCTATACGTTACCCTATTTTTTCAGGACTGAAATGATAAACACAACATAGATTTTCCTGGGCCTTGATAAGTTGTAGCTGTCTGTCTCATGAATTGCAGCCCTTTTTGTTTGTCTGTCACCCTTAGCTGCAGGCAGTGCTGAGATCCTATAGTGTGACAGAAGCTGACACCTTCCAGGCCATGAGGACATGTTGGAAGGAGAACCAGTATCTGTTATGTCCTCACACTGCTGTTGCTGCTTTCTACCACATGGCACAAGAGAGGTACACACAACTGCCTAATTCCACTTTTAGATGTTTCTCAATTATGTTTCATCATTGTTTATTTCATAACTTACAGAAACACTTTTTTTAATATCCATCCCCTAGACGTAACGCACCAATTTAGTACAGTAAGTACAAGCTGCTTAAGGTGTTTTCCAATCATACTACTCTTTTTTATGAGTTTTGACATGGGGAATTCAGAAAGCCAAGGATTGCACCCTTCAATACTTTTTGGATGCGTGAAATCTCCAAAATGAATTTCCTTTTTTAGTGTCCAATGACGTTTTATACAGGAGAACTGTATACCGATACCATTACATCATTTTTCAGCACCAGTTCCAGTTTGAGAGTGTGTGTGGCCACGGCAGCAGCAGCTAAGTTCCCCGAGGCTGTGGAGAAGGCCGGCCTGCTGCCCCAGCCCACCCCAGAACTGCAGGCCCTGGACTCCATGCCCACCAGGTACCAGGACATGAAACAGGGACAGGACTCAGGCCATGCTCAGGACCAAAATACAAACTCTGCACTCCAAGTAGACATTGAACACTTGTAGTGCAGAGCTTGTCTTTGACATCTGCCTGAGGTTTCTGCAAATAGAGACTTACCATGATCATAACACTTACTTCTCATCTTCACGGTAGTAAAATGTCACGGTCTGAGGAAAACGCATGTCCAAGGAACTTCATTTTCACGATCGCGGCATGTGCATAGAGGGGCGCTAAAGGCAAATGATTTAATAACGTTAATGGTACAGAAGTGACCATGAAAACCATGAATATAAAAGTACCATGAAAATATCAGGATTTACTGTTACAGTAATTTCATCAGTTTGGGAACAGACTGTTGAAGAAAGTCATTTATGCGACAACCATTTGGTTTGTCAGATGTAAGAACCCACTGGTTGTTGACTTAAGAACCTTCTCATACCCTTTTTATACCCAAAATGGTTTCAAAGCTATATTTTAGTGCCATATAAATAGCAATCATTGATTGTCAAACTCAAGGTACATTACCTATTATTTATTTATGATTCATGAATACCAAATGTTTAATGCCAAAGATTTAAAATCCAAAGCCAGTGTTTCATAACACCTTAATGGCAAACTTCTTGATAAGTTATGTACAGAGATTTTAAATGAATTATCTGTAATTTTTACATTCTACTGTTATCATGTGAGGTCTTTTTTTAACGAGTTTGACAGGACAATGAAACAGTTTTAATTACTTAGTGATGAAAGAAAATGCACAAAACAGAGAAAAGGTTACAATACAGTCACAACAAGCTTTTCGTTGCAGTCTTTTTTTACAGCAAGCTTTAGATGCAGCTGCTTTTTTTTAAGTCTTAATACGATGGTGAAAAGCATCTCATATAAATACATAGGTAGCTTTTATTACTCTTTTTCAAATAGGAGGCCCTATCATAATATCTGGTAACATTTCAACTGTCCTGTTGTGTCCGGTAAACCGACCTCACGGTGTAGTAAAAAAGTACTCTGAGAATGTCCAGGACTGAGAGGCGGTTTTGGTGCAGTTGTTGACGAACGCTCTCGTTCCTGTGGAAGCATTTTGTCCCACGTCCAAGCAGAGTCCAGTCTCAGTGTTTAGAAGCATCCCGCCCTGTGGTATAAGGAAATGATATATTTCTATATTGTAATTGCCTTAAAAATATGTAATGGTGTATCAAGAACACGTGCAGTTTAAATATAAGCTTGTGCATTTGCTGTGAAACAGAGAGGGAAGAAGAAAAAATTGAATGGAACATGTACCAAAAGAGGAGTCAGAAAAAAGACAAAATTTTACGTCAAATGCAACACTCTCACCTTGCCGTTGTGATTCCAACTCTCGTGTAGTCCGGTATGACAGTCCTCGATGATGGGCACTTCTAATTTGGCAGTGCCCTGGGTTCCCACACACTGGTATTCTGCAAGGCTTGTCAATATGTTATGTATCGCTTTTCTCTTTTCCGGCATTCCCAGGGCAAAAAACTAGAGAAATAGTTAAAACGAAAGGACTTGAAAAAACGAGATATCTTCCATTTAGGTGCAGTGAGTGCAGCAATATAATACTGAATGGATTTGTATGTCCTTTTTGTGTATGCTGGGTAGGTCCGTAGGATCAAACCTAGTTGTGAGCTGGACAAAACACTTGACAGAAAAAAGTCGTATCCTTTTGGAATAATGTGCTTCTAGTTGCCCCATCAAAGCTGGTTGGCAAACACTGGCAAATCCTGCCAACACTGAAAATTTGATGACAGCGGGACTATGCTGTGGGGAATTCTCTTTACACAGCATTTCCACTGTCGGCAGTACCGCTGACGTGAAAATCTGTGCCTAAACTCGGCCTTAGTCACATGACAGCGGTAAACATAATATAGAACAGCCTACCTGAGGTCCACCATGGCCATGACAGTCCCATAGTCCGACTCCTTGTCCGTCAATGTGGTCCAAACACAGGCCTGTCTGGACGTTCCGCAGCTGAGTGATGACAGGTATGGGGATTAATAAGTTAGCCTGGAATCCAGTCTTGTACGCTTCGAACTGTTACTAGTCTGAGTACTGGATTCCAGGCTAGGGTTAGTGCATTGTGCATATATCCAGTATATGAAAGCACACCCAAACCAAATTTCAGATCATTTGAGTGGAATACAAGTACACCTTAGCCACAAATGTAAAGTAATGTTAACCTGTCCTACCTCGCCCCAGGCCCTGTAGAAGCCACTTTCCACAGTCTGCTCCAGTCTGTCCGGGTACACATTCTCCAAGTACCACTGGAAACTCTTACAACCAAGACGCTTCCGTAAGGCCTGCCGCTCACTGATGTCTCCGTAGGAAATGTTCTGGAAATGTTCTAGAGATTAAGTTATGGGACGAGTAACCTTTGTTGTACATTTATGTCCTATCGGGCTGTATGTCTGTATATTGGAACTTTGTGTTGCAATCTTCAACAACAAGTAAGAGAACAAAATTGACATCGATGTCCATATGCTGGACTGCAACAACTTCATTTCCAAACCCTTTTAATATATTTCATATCATTCTGAGGGCTCCTTCCAATAAAATCACCTACCATAATATTCTCATGTGCTATATGTATAATATATATAAACGCTACACACCAATAGTTCAGTACCTTCAAGTAGGGTTTTCTTCCGTACAGGTATCGTTTGTACTGATCCATCCACACCTCGGCCGCGCGAACCTTGTTGACTTCTATGTCGATGTCCTTGGTGTCATCGGACCTGAAGCTCAGGTAGGGCTTGGCAGTTCTCTCAATGTGCCCCACATGGGAACACAGTACCGTCTCAATCCGACCTCCGCACTGCCATACCTAAATACATCGTCCCACGTTGAATAACCAAAACAATAATTATCTTGGTGGCTACTCCTACACAATAACCAAGGTCCCTCATCAACATACTAAAATACGCCAAAAACAGTAATTCAAACAACTATAGTAAGTATGGTTTTGGAAACGGTCAGACATTTCAGGTAGCATCCACTACATGTACCTTTCGTCAATGACACTGTTACCGTTCGTCAATGACACTGGACGACAGATAGTGGATGCTACTTGAAACGCCTGACCGTTTCCAAAACCATACCCAGTTGTTTGAATAGCTGTAACGTTTTTTGAATAACCATTTCCAAAATCATATCCAGTTTCTTGAGCATCTGTTTTGAGTGTATTTTATTACCTGGATGTCTAACCTTCACCGACATACTAAAATACGTTTTATTGGTACGTTATTTATTGCTGAATATTATTCATGTTGACATATGTTTGTATCTCTTAATAACCATGTTTCCTGGTTAGTACCGATACTGAATACTCGTGCCAATGTACATTACCTCTATTGCTCTTACCCTAAAAGACATTTCGACGTTTTCTCCGCCGTATATCTCCATGGCCGGATCGTAGGCTCCGATGTGTTGGAAGTAATCTTTGTAGATGGCGAAGAGCCCGCCTGCCATAACAGGGCATCTACAATGAGCGTGGGGAGGAAGAAAGAGCGTCAAATTCACATCTGTCACTCAAGGAGGCGATATTCTAATACGGTACCTAATAATATACATTTCGTCGTAAGAAACATGGAATTTCATCAGCTAACAAAGTACCTCTTTTGGGCTTTGATGCCGGAAACAGTTTCAGCATTTGATACGATATTTCAGTGTTTACAAGTTGTTGAATTTGACATGTGTGCATATAACCAATCAACAATATGGACAATGAGCAATAGACAATGAGGCAATTGCCTTAGTGGATCTATGGCTGATTTTCGTCTCGCCATTTCTTCTTTGTTGACGTTTATCCAGATGAAGGTGAGATCCCAGGAGAATCCACCGGCCAAGTAGTTCGGCTGTTCGTAAGCAAATGTTTTTGTGTCGATCTGGTCAATGACTGGACACGCCACAGTGCTGTTGTTGTCCCGTATACGTGCCAGCAAAGGCTCCAACCTGGAAAAAAATATATGTTTCATAGGTAGAGACTGTAATCTGGCAGAATCCCCGTATCTACCTCTACAGATCCTGATCGGCGATTCTGCTGGTTGAGTTCCCGTTCGGAAAATTTAATGATATTTGCCTAAAAGACAGTTGGAACTCTTATTTCGACTTATGTCAATTTAGATCAATGAATTGACTTGAAATTTACGATTTGTAAATAGGAGACCCTAACCCTAGCGCATTACCAGCATCCGGGTTGTCTTACCACCCAGGCGTGCACTCAATGTGCGAGTCCAGGAAGACGACAGCCGGACCCTGGGCCTGCTGCACCCCCTTCAGACGGGACCGGATCAAACCCTCCCGTTTGGTGTTCCTCAGGATCTTTACTTTGTCCCGCAGTTTGGTGTTGGTCGAGATGTGGGATTCGAGGGGAAACGCTAGGTCAGCTGGGGAGAAACGTGGACAAGACTGTTATTAAACCTCGCAAAACTCCAGGTCACTAGGAGTTTCCCTTTACTGTACAAATACCAAATGCCGGCCAAAGAAGATGCTGGACTTTCATCCGTAAATAGTTTCATCAGGTGTACACATACAATGGTACTAATAATGTGAGACACTAATTTTCCTCACGTTTGTCGCTGAAGTCGTCCACCAGGAGTATTTCCCTGATGAGGTGCGGAGGAGACTGGTTCATGACGCTGTGGACAGACCGGAGCACCACGGACAGAGCCTCGTTATAGAAGATCATCACAACCGACACCTGGGGCAGGTCGTCAGGGTAATCTTCTTGTAGGCACCTGCAGTACATGGTGACAATACTAATGTGTGTGTGTGTGTTTGTTGTTTGTGTGTGTGTGTGTGTGTGTGTGTGTGTGTGTGTGTGTGTGTGTGTGTGTGTGTTTGTGTGTGTGTGTGTGTGTGTGTGAGTGAGTTTGCGTGTACGTGCGTGTGTGTGAAATGTTTGATACCGCGGTGTCTCAGAGAAATGCATTTCCCAGACACAATCTAGAAGATGTTGACTGCCAATTGTCACTCTTGATACGACAACTGGCATACCCGTATAATTCGTAAAATATCTTGCCTCTAAAAGATACCCCATTTTGAAGATGAGAAATATAGAAGAGATGTAGGAGTACTAACAATGTGTCCCGTTGATCCGGAATCTTCCTGTCCAGGCTGATGACGTCGCTGACCAGGACGCTGTACCCGTACAGGTTGTGCAGCTGCTCCGCTGCCTGACGCGTGTCCTGCCCGTGGATGTACAGGGCTTTGCCGTTCTCTCCCGGACCGACGGGGACTGTCACCACGCGTGGGGGTGCTCTACTAGGGGGAGAAGAGAAACAGGAGTCAGTATGCGAGTTGTCCCAGTGTGACAGCTATGGCCGTGTGGACTTCAAAGTTCCTCCCGCATCAGGTGACGCATAGGGCGGCCCTGGGCCACACAGTGCAGTGCAATCACTCCAGCAGGGGGCTAGTCCACTGGTAGTGGTGTGTGTTCAACTCCCATAGTCTTTTCCAAGTCCTTTTATGGACCTTAATCTGGCCAACGTGATATTTTCTGCGCAAAAACCTGAAAGACGAACTTCTTCTTACAGTTTGAGTATAAGTCTGTGCATTATATTTTTTTATTACAAGGAGGTGAAGAACTCACATTTGATCCAACTGAAACATGCCATTGTCAGCGGCCTCCTGTTTCAGCCTCGTACTGACCCCCATCTTCATGTCAGCTTTTCTGTCGCGTAAAAAAGAGTCCTGGCGAGCAATCAGGGCTGCACTTCTATCCCTGTCTTCTTTCGCAAGGCCTTCTAGTCTGTTTAGTTTGGATAAAACTTTTTTTAAGACCAAACTGAGTTTATTTACTTCACTTTGAGAGGTTGTTCTATCCTCGTCCTGCTCTCTCGCCGGAAGTTGTCTGAACCCCGTGCTTGGGTTGTTTGTAGCTGAGGTAAGGCGGACAGTTACTGGGGTTTGCTCGTGTAATCCGAGGATTCTCAGCTCCATGAATGTTATCGCACACCATCCGAACACGGACAACAGGGCGGCCAGAATCCGGACCCTCCTGCTCAGCCGCATCTTCATGATTTATTATCTCCGCTCTTTTCTTCCTATGACATAAAACCAAATGGCAGTTAAGTGACGAATAATCTTTCAAAGAATTCTTTTTCTATCGCTATATATTAATATAGTGAAAAAGCTCCCTTTCATTAAGGCTGAGCATAAATGAATGGATTGATTGATTGATTAGTTTTTGTTGCTCTGACATTCAATAAAAAACGTTCTGTTTATAAACTTATATGGAGGGTTTCCTGCAGAAGAGAAGTTATGAATATGATTCTTTTTTTTTATTTCTTTGACATTTCTAATTTCCATCATTCATATGAATGTTCAGATTTACAACTATTCTCTAGATTGAAGGAGATCAGAGTGACTAGTCGAAAGCTCTAGCTGAGAACAACGCTTGTGTAGGAACAGAATCGAAGCTATAACTCTAAACATCTCTTCTGAGGGAGAAGTTTTGCTTGTATACTTAGCTAAGTTTGACGAAATCTGTAGTGAAAGACATGTCTCGAAAATTTACTGACCCACGTGGCACTGAGGAGAGGGACATAGAACGCAACTTTTTCCTACACTCCTCTTGTAAATCCGTTCACAGGGATATCAATACATGTACTTTATAGACAGGCAGTAATGTTTATGCTTGTCAGTGTTGCAGAGTGTATATTTACTGTGGTAAAGTGTATATTAATGTCTGGTGGAGTGTATATTTACTGTGATGAAATGTATATTTACGTCTGGTGCCCGCATTATATTGTCTTGTTGCATTGTATTGTCTTGTTGCAATTCCAATCAAGAAAAAAAGACAGACAGACAGACAGACGTATGTAAAGATCCTTAACTTTTGGGTAGAATAAAGCATGATTTTTTTTCAGATTTCAAGGATGTAGATTCATATATTACCTGGTATGTAGGCATATTTAAAACGTTATTTGGCGTAGTGACGTCATTACTGTAAGTGTATATTTCCAAATTTTACAACATGGAGAATTTCTTTAAATGGCTTGATCAGTCACTCTGCTGTGATAACGCCAATTGATTAAATTATTGGCACAGAAGCAAACAAGGCACGAAAACTAGTATTTAAGCACGCTTTAAATTGACGTAAAGGGGAAGTCTCTTCCTCCTTTCCGCAACTTTACGACCCCTATACGTGCACGTGAAGATTGCCTTCATGTTGCATTTCCGCTTCTGCACTCTCAGAAGGGTCTGCTGCAACATTGTATCATCTTGAAATCTCTGTATTTTGTATCTGTATAAACATTGTGACAAAATTATACAATTTTGAGTCCTGAGCAAAAGCGCAAAAATGCCACTCCCCCCCCACTTTCACGGCGCCTTTCCGCGACAAGGGACGGCCTGTGCCGTTTTTAAATACTGTATGATACTTGAAAAGTGGCAGAAAAATATACTGAAAACATATACAAAACGTACTAGTATCTTAAAAACCTTGTCCCGTTGGCATTTCAGACAATTTTTAAGTAGGACCCTGACACAGTAGGAAGATTCTACTCTGAATAATTGACTGTCTTCGAGGATTGTCATCACCAATCAGCTGTCAGATAAGAATTGCGTGTCTGGAGACACCGAACCAAGCTGACTTATTATCGAACTATGAGCCTAAAAGGTTAACTATGTTGGTCTTGTCGACCGGGATGGCATAGCAGTAGTTTGCAAGTGATTAGTGTTCTGCCATGAATAGAACGACACATTTACACAAGGTATTCTGGGCCGGCTAGCAGCAATACATATGGTGACTAGTAAAGAATGTGACTTACAAGAGATACCTTCACCGCCGTAGTTAAACTTTAGAAATGCTCAGACTCTTGGCTGGATCTTGGTTGATTTTCTGCAGTATGGAAATATTCAAGCACTAGAGTTTCCTCCCTCTGAATGTATCGACTCGGAAACCGACTCATATCTCTACTTTGTATGTTGTTGCTGTCATGTTGCATATCCTATCTGACACATTAATACAAATACATAACAATACACCGTCATCAAATTGTATAAACATGTCACAGGCTGTCAAAGCTGTGTAAACAGAACTTTAAATGGGCAATCAGAGACATTTCATTTTCCATCATATTTTGTTGTTCCTAGCTCGAAATACCACTTAATTGTTTCAACAGGTCAGACAAAAATGTAAATTTCTGGGCTCCTGTTCCCTCATATCAACACCAGATGACGTGAAATTCGTGTACCTTGGACATATGATATATATGCCCATAGATATCAATTAACAGATTTGGCATACACAACTTCAAAATGATTAGTTTTGGGACTTTTTCACTATTCTAGACAAAATCTACAAAATCACCTATTAAAGATCAAATGACACATGCCCACAGGCTTTTACAATAACTCGGGAAGGCTTAGATGGATTGTCTTTATATAAATTGTTAGTCTGGAGGTCTTGATGAGAACTCGAATGAACATGCTGGGGTCACAAAGTTTTGTCTGGTAGATAGCTTTTGGGCTCAGAAAGCAGTGACGCGGGAGGTTGGACACAGTCTTGTAATATCTCCGTCTGGCACAGACTCCAACCAACTTCTTGGGCCTAACTTCATGGGTCTAACCTTTTGTGGTCTGTCACGGTTAGGGAATTCTCCCACCCATATGCTGTAATTCAACTGTAGGAACACACCAGTAAACAAATGCAACCACTCAAACACACAAACAAACGCAAACACACGCACAACAAAAGCAAAGACTACCATCGATTATGTTTCTTAACGTTTATCTTTAAAGTTTAATAATTGGACAGATGACTGCATTTACATGTAGCAGTATTTCCTTCACCAATATGCAACTGCATGCTAGCTTTCCTAAAAATTCTTCATTCTAAATAGGTAATGCTGTAAAATCTATCCTAGTATTTTACAATGAATGGCAGAGAGGCACATGTAACAGAAAATCAGACAACAATAGTGCAACAATTATGAGACCATCAAAGAAGAAAAACAGCTGATTTAATTTGGAGTGATAAATGTTAACCTTACCTTATGTTAAGATGCTGCATTGTCCATTAGGTATATGTTAAATGTATGTACTGAATATAATTTTCATAATAATTTTTCTCTTGCTCCTAAATCTTCGACATAATATAGACAATAGAACACCAGAAAACTAACACTATATATACTAGGAACAATAGATAAAGTCATAGCATATAGGACCAACAATAAATTTCCAACGGCACATTTGGAATAAATCAACTCAAAGAATCAATATCTCTTCAATAAATGCAATCATGATAATTGCGTTTCGGACTAGTGTCACCATAGAATCAACCATTTAAAGCTTTAATAAAGTGAGTTACATTCATTTTATACGTCATGTTTGGAAGATGCAAAAGAGGTAATCATTGAATATATATGTATATATTCGACTACGACGTCTTACCTAAATGTCTGCATCCATTTTAACAATGTTAGTTACAAAGACTGACCGCACAGTTTTTGTAAAAGCAAATAAAATTGCGAAACTGTAAATTGTATTCCGTACAACCCATCAACAATGACACATACATGAATATATACACAATTTCAAAACATTGGCCTCTAGTCCCTAAAACGTCTGCCCCTAGTCCCCTATAACCCTGTCTGAGGAGCAGGATAACCAGGAGTGGGACACGGCGCGAGGGTTGCACTTCTCCTGCATGTTCGTGTCCTCGTCGAACTTCCAGTACAGGTCCCTCTTCAGGAAGTAAGTCCGTCCGTTCAGCCACTGGAAGGCCGCATCGATGCGCTTAGGGATGCCGGGCCAGACGGTGTAGATGGGCCGGGGGTAGCCGGGCACGTTCTTCCTGGTCAGCTCGTCGAAGGCGTACACGCGGGAGCCCTTCAGGACGTACACGCGGTAGTCCACGCTCCGCACCAGGGCGGCGTCCGGCGACTTTGGCATGCCGGCGCGCGCGGCCGAGATGGGGAAGCCAGGATCGAGTCTCGTCCGGTAGAACCGGAAGATTTTGTCGCCTGTGGTGAGACAAAACATTGATGGATCTATGAAAAATGGGGGCAGTTCACGCCTCTACACCCTTTTCATCAATATGTATCAACGGCAATCGCTAAGCGACCGACCAATGGTTTCAAAACTGAAATATAATGCAAGATGTAAAGGTATGATCATAAAAGGCATGTTCTTTCTTCTTTGGTCGCTCAGCGGTGGGGTGTATTACTATACTGTTCTGTGCCGTATATGTGCCATGGAAAACAAAACATGCTTTGCCTTCTAGCTCTGATTAATACGAAAATCCATCATACATTCGCGGGCAGCTGCAGATTCTGTATCAAAAGTGGGTCTGTACTGTACTGGCCAAAAGAATTCGAAGAGAGAAACCTTTGAAGAAATAAGTCCGATGCGTCGCCCTCGATGTCGCCGCGGCATCGACTTTCCCCGGACCGAGCTCTTTCCACCGCCTGTTGATCTTCTGCGGTCTCCCCTGGATCCCCACGTCCGTTATCCGCCAGAAGAAACTCTTCCTGAAGGCGTAGGTGAACCTGTCTACACCTGTAGGGTGAGTTAGGAGGTTCAGATAGACTCAGAGTATACACTGGGACAATTTACACCTCATACATCAAACGATTAGTTACAAGAAAACAATGGATACCTATATGTCACTCTATTTGAATAATCTGTTAGTAACGTGTACCGCACACGTACTTATGCATTACAAACAAATTATTCAAATCATCTAGTACCCCTCAATGACGTTATGTGATGTTTCACGAGTGACATATAGGTATCCACGGTGTACCTTTAAACATTATCACCAGCATGTATAGCAAACAATGTCATTATGATATCGTAGGCCCGAACCCCGCCTTGGACACTATGCTACTGGAAGAGACTGTAGTTAGGCCAACCTCTAGGATGGGACGTTGAGCCGGAGGTCCCGTATTCGTGAAAAATCGTTTTTCAAGCACCCACGACTTACCCAGCATAATTGCGTCATATTCGTTCTTGCAGATGGTATACGGTCTCTTAAAGTAGCGGTCGTAACGGCCTATGTCCATCTTAGTGCCCACCACGTGATTCGACCACCAGGAAATCTTCGGACAGTCACCTGGGATGGAAGAAAGAAAGGCAAGGTTGTGGCTGTCGAAACACAGGCATACACACAAACGCGCACACTCACACGCACGCACACACACGCACTCATACGCGCGCGCACGCACAGATACGGATTATACGGGTAATGCAACAGTGCACACCTAAAACATGCAGTACAAAATAGTACATAGTAATGTAGTCCATGTACATGTACATGTACATATATCTGTCTCAATACACCGTGAATAGCATGAGACACACCGTACACAGCCAGCGCCCCTCTCTCGTCGTCAGAAGGCAGCCGGTACAAGTCCCCGTTCTGCGCGATATCCTGGTAGGACCTTCTCATCAGGGCACCGAACAGCTGGGAATGACCCAGACCCAGACTGTGTCCGACCTGTAGGGGGTGTAGTAACATCTAACTAGTGCAAAGAGTCTTTGGAAGGACAATAGAACCGCTTCAATGTACAATGAATGATACATAACAGCGCCGGCACATTCGTCGTAGACCTTCGTGCGATTTTGATGTCGTAGGATTTTTAAGCTGGCTGTGACAGAACAACAAGGATCTATGACAAACTTCGTTACAACACGGTTGAATTCTGGACACGTGCATGACTGTTCCAAGTTCAGTTTGCGATAGTACACATTGAAATGCCATTGCCACGGTCTTGAAAAACAAATACAGATGTCAAGCGTGTAGAATAATAATACACAAACGTTTCCTTTTCGTCGTGTTATCAGAATGAAAGGATTAGAATACAATCCGTTTAAACTTGAGACAGGTCGCCCTTACATACCTCGTGTGCTGTTATCAGGAACAGGTCTTTCTTGGAGGAGGCATAGCGAGAATCAGTGGTCCACGGCTCGTCTGCGTCATAGTGGACATCGCCGTTCTCAGGAAAGAAGGCATGTGCGAATATACCTCCTGCACAGGGGAATGACACTGTATCTGTAAATTTGTCAGTTGTAACATTCGTATCCGTAATTGGTTTAATGTTAGTGTGAAAATCTATGTTGTCTGTTTTTTTACAACGTAAACTTATAGAATTAGTTGTATATATAGCAGGACTGCAGTTACCCTGTGGATAACTTGACAGAGCTGATGACGGACTTCTATATCATTTCTGCTACTAGCTATATATACTATTGATTTAAACTGCCATACGGATTTTCTTAAATGTACACCGTGTCATGATCTATATAAAGAGGCTAATTGTAATTTCCAAAGAAAACCTGGGGCTATTTTGAAAGTGATTCCTCTCATACTATAAAAATCATACTATATACTTGATTATGTAATCTGTTGTACTGTTCTTGTTTTTTTTTTGTGTGGGAACATGTAAAGGCAAGTATGGAACTGTTTTGCCCTCTCTTGAGCGTCGTGACAAACTCATATAAACAAATAACAAACAAGCAAACAAACAAATAAACAGAATATTTTGTCCTATTTAGTCCTTACCCAGCCCGTCGAAAGGATGTCCGTCGTTGTGGTCCCCGCGGTGGAACTCGAACATGATGTCGGCGTCCCCGTTGACGACCTCCCGGAAGGTGAGCGGAGTGACGTCTGTCCACAGCTTGAGGGACCGCAGGATGACCCGCCTCAGCTCCTTCTCAGAGATGTACCTGGGTCTGTTCACGATCCGGAACGTCAGGTCCGTCCGCTTCCATTTGGACCCTAGAGAGAAGAAGAAAACTTGGACGGTACAAACTTATGCATTCTCTTCGCATTGAAGAGAAGGAATAATACTCCTGATGATAAGCGCACATTCCTGTGGATGTCGTTGAATGTTCAACCCTGGAGAACATAGAAAGACACACATGTGCACGTTTTGACATTTGTCCGAAATTGATGCCTTTTTCATCAGTTAATTTCTGACATTTTGATATCCTGAGCTATTGCTCACAGAAATTAAACTGCACCAGAGGCACAAAGGGAAAAGGTGCCTTAGTCTGGTTACCAAACTGTTATGGCTCCCGAGTCCTACAGCCTTTGCGGAGAGGCTGTAGGACTCGGGAGCTATAATAGGTTTGGTAACCAGACTACATGTTGTAGCTCTCCCTAGTTTTTACATCACAGGACTAACAAATAAAAAGCATACCTGACATGGAACTTTCGGCCGTCTCTTACGGCCTTCGTCAAGGAGTAAAGGGGGATCAGTTCATTTGTTGCAACGTCAAATGCGTTGGCCTATTATAGTCGTACATAGGACTAATGTTGGCATTATACTAATATATGCCACCCGTACCCATTTTAATTCCGGACTTCTGTATCATTTTACCGTAGCCCTACTCACCACAGGATAAAAACAACCAATTGTGAAAGCTTCCTCGTTTTCATAAGTATATAGCAACTCCAACTATTCTTATTTCATATACTGGAATTGCGACCTCATATTGATGCAATTCCCGTTTTGTAGTTGTACTTTCTTTAGTTGGCCATGGTTTCCGTCAACTGTAACGTGCAATCAAACTTGCCTAAATGTTTTATCATTCGCCAATAACTTCGTTGTTTTGCCTATTATGTTCAGAATAAGATGTGTAATACCTACTAATGCGTATCTTTTCCTTCTGGCGGCGTCGTCCCCGGTCAGAGGCGGCGTGAAGTCGGCCTCGTTGTCGACGCCGCAGTGGTCCGTGAGCCGCTCGTAGTACGCCATGGCCGGGTCCTGCCGCTTACTCCGGGGGTGCTCGCTAAGGGCAGGGGCAGGAGTTGTCCCGTAAATATATCAGCTAGGCTTTTTTGAATGGAGTCAACAACATTTTTGTCGACTACCGATGGACATATTATTACATACTTAAGGGAAGGATTAAAACTGATACACACAACTTACGATAGAAGCATAAAACCAAACTTTTAGACGGCATCCGCCATATATAACGCCTTTTATGAAGTCGAATTGAACTGAAATATACGGTGTTTTGTCCATATGTCCGTGATCATAACCTTTTAAGAACAGCAGAATGCAATTTTCAGCATGGCTAGTATGGCCTGTGTCACCATGACAAGATAGCTAATGGATCGAAGCCGGATCAAATTGCAAAGCGAATCAATTCGACTCGATTCGGACAAAAATTTTAACCTAGTGGGAATGGGACCTAAAATTATTTGCACAGGTGTCTAATGTGAACATTTGTCTATTTCGAACAGGTGCCTGATTTGAAGAGGTACTTACGTCGTGCGCTGAGTCTCATTCCAGTCCGGACCGTCGATGATCGCTATATTCGACTGGGAAGGACAAAGTACAGGGTTACTGTGAGTAACATTTTACACATTCTATCACCATTCACTACAGCCATAAATAGTGAGCTCTGAGGGAAATGAGTTGACTTCTCTGAGATGAATTTTGTTCGACATATGTACGACTATGCCGCCGATGCCCTCATTTTGCGATCGCTCGACGATCGAGACGTTGCTAGTCCACATATTGTACTACTAAGTATCTAGCTCGACACACTATCACGGTTGATTGTTTAGCTTCCAAAAAACCATGAAAATGCGTGTACATGCAATTTATCTTACCCTCCCCCACGAGAAGGCTACCGATCGTTAAGTAAAGCCACAGATTCAAGCTGATAGACAACTTAAGGAGCACGCTGTTTTTGTATTGACCTTGAACCTGGTTTATACGTAGCCTCTCTGGTGTGACGCATCTTCACCTAACGCCAGATTGAGAAACCCCGATTTAGCACGGAGCATCCTCACACCCTGTCAGCCCGGAAGGAAACGGTTTGTAAATCGGAAACGTTGAAGGTCTGTTTGGAATGTTTGCCGTCCTCAAAATACATTTTAAGTATTCAGAGACCCACAAAAGTAATGTTAACGATGTGTTGTTCGGTGTGATTCGTTTATACTCGTCTAATGCAGTGTTCTGTGATTTTAAACCGCAATACTTTGTTGTAAACGCCATGAATCTACAGTAGAACGATCCCATAGCCCAGTAGGCCTCAGTCAAAGCGTTGGAATGCAAAATAAAAATATTGGTCTAACTTCTAATTGCAATATTCTTATTGGTTGAACGGCTAATTGTGATGGACGGTCAGGATCGGTCTTTTCAAAAGATTATCCAACGTCATCATAATTACGTTATCAATACCATTGGGTGTAAATATTTCGTATAAAGAGAGTAAACTGCAAATAATACCTTTGAGTTGAGTGTAGTGTTTTGGTAAAGTTTATTTTCATTGCCAAAACTTCAATCCTTGCCAAATAAATTTGCCCACAACAAGAACATCTGTTACGACTTCCTGTGTCGTCCAGGGGCAAAGACGTACTGTGTCAGAATTAAGACAAATCGGATTTAGTTTGTACCGCCCGCTGGCCCCAAGGCCGGACCCTGGATTCCCAAGTACGTAAGGTCACTCCGCCAGCCGCGATCCAGACGACGGGACGGTGTTTTCTTCATTAGTGTCAGAGCTGCTCACTTACACCAACTTATTAGAACTTCCTGGACTGATTCTTGGAGCCCACACGTGGTGGAGAGGCTCTCCGGTTTCTAAGAGAGTGTTCTTACATTGTGCCCTGCCCTGACAACCCTGTAATATAGCGTTACAGGATCAAGGCAGGGGAGGTTTGGGTACAGTAGAGGTGTGTCACCGGTTGTGGTTGGATCTCTGACCGAGAAAATCACGTAACTTAGATGGCTTAGATACATACATTTGTCAAGAGTGATGTACGTGTACACCTAGGATAAGCTTAAATGTTTGCGTGTACACCTAGGAGATGCTTTGAGTGACGTAGTGTAAGATATAAAATTGGCTTTTAGGGAGTTACCATTGCAACTCTTATCAAGCGGACACTCATCGTGACTCTCCCCAAATCCTAAAACATCTGCCCGTATTTGGCAAATACCTCCTCCCATTCCTATCACTTTCTATCATTCAAGTGTGAAATATTCGTAATACTTGTCCGAACAAGCCCAGATTTTAACCCCCGTCTTACCTCCATTTATATCAGTCTTCCTGATCATAGGTCGACTGGTTTTACATGGGAACAGTTGCAGTTTACAACTTCACAATGTCTGTCTTACTTGCCATGTCAATTGCGCTACGACCGTATGACGACTAATGTGACATTTTTTGTATGCTGTGTGTGTTTTCTTGGCTTTTAAATCATACTTTTACATCTTGCATCACATTCCAATTTGGTATGGCCGCACGGTTGCAATTCGATCGTCGGCCTAGTGGAAACTGAAGGCCTCATTGGTGTCACCAGCATGTGAATCTACCTGTCCATCAGAAAAGTCATCACCATCCTCTGAAACGTCTGCGCCTGACAGTAAGGTAAACCGGGATGTTGTGCCAGGATCAGCACATGACATGAACACGACACTTGATTGAAGGGTGCAATTAGCAAACACTGTTTCGCCAACACCATCACGGAGAGATTTAAGACAGAACCGTGACGTGCTTTGTAGACACGTTCTTTCCATTCCAACAGCGAGTATTCCTCAATGTTGTTATTTGAAATACGACATCACGATTTCCGTTCAATAATCAGAAACAGTCACAACTCTACGGGATCTCTTTGCTTCTGATCTGAACTTCAAAAAGCCCGAAATTCAATTACTTCTCAATCGGCCCGGTTCAAATTCTTTTTTTAAGTTTTTCTTCCAGTTATTCAATCCACTCAAAAAAAATAAACAGCTAAAGGTTAAAAGCTGCGAGAGGGCCAAAATCTAATGGTGAATCTTCCTCAGGCCCTGGTCCAATTACTATAAACAAGGTTTTAAAAGACTTGCGACAATGCATTTATAGCTTACATATCTTGTCCACAAACGGACGCTGGCAGGATATTTTGTTTTCCGGAGGCTTTAGCGACTGAAGGTTTTTTCATCAATCATTTCCGACGTCCAGAAGGAACGTCTCATGCCAGTGCGACTTGGCAAACGAGGCTATGTAATTAAGCGTAGAAGTGTTGAAAGGAAAATCAACGCTGTAACAAAAGTACGAAGTACTTCACAGTAATGGCAACTTGTCAAGGGACTCGACCTTCAAGGCAATACGGTAATAGAGAAGTTGATTCAGCTGCGGAAGGATGGAAGACTGCGAGGCAACAGAATAACAAACTCCGTTAAGGACCCAATGCAATATCAAGCTGGCTAAACTGGATTTTCAAAGTTAATTTTCTGGTCATCCTTTTAATGTAGTATGTTGAATTGTTTGTTTGTTTGTTTGTTTGTTTATTCGATCTCCATTAGATTTACATGAAATCTATTCTTCCTGGAGTCGCAAAATTACAATGAAACAAATGTACAGAACAGAACAAAACAAATGTACATGAAAGTAAAACCACCATAACAAAAGGTGTGAGACTTAATCAAAAAAAATAACATAACGCACACAACATTAACTGAAAGTTGAATCAATCCTATCTCATAGCATACTTATATCTGACAGGCAAAAATTCGATGTCACTGACGGAAAACGGTTGCTCGTTTTGTATCGTAGGCTGGTTCTACATATTCATGGGTGGTACCCAAAAATGAACAGACGCCTCACATAGCCTGATAGTTTGGAGCTATATTTCAAAAGCTTGAAGATTGACATGCATTTACTCAAGAAACAGGTATTCATCAATATGACGAGAGGAGGAAGCAGAGATAACATCTGGTATCACTCTCAGTTTGATCTGAGTAAAGAATTTGGAAGATGAACAAAATAAATCTCCACAGCCTACTAGATGGTGTGATCCTCACCGATACATTGTCAACTTGAACGGTTTCCAGGCCCTATACTCGCCACCCTAAGAAATATTTCTTAGGGTAGCGAGTATGGGAGCCCCGGCATACAAATAGGATGGTACCCAGGCTACCTGAAACTGACATCTGAGAGGCATAACATTCGTTGTCACTGACACAAAACGGTTGCTTGTTTTGTATCGTAGACTGTTTCTATGGGTGGTACCCAAAAATAAAGAGACGCCTCACATCTGAGCCTCACAACTTGAACGGTTTCCAGGGTCTGAACCTGCGGGGCTGGAAGCGTTCCAACAGCCGTCTATCTGGCGCTAATGTCAGTGTCAACGCACGCTCATACCGAGCACCGCGGGGCAGGTGAATTGGAAACGTCCGGGGCCTTCTGAGACAAAATAAAACGAAACCCTTACACAAAGCGCTGCAAAAAACAGTGTGATATTACGTCTCAGTTACCTGCATGTAGCCAGACTGCTGTGAGGCCTCGAGACACAGGCTAGGTATAATTAGTGAACACAAGTATCTTAGAGAATCTTCGACACTCGTATTTCCATCAGTTTGGACTTTTACCAAGCAACACTTGCGGTCGAGGAAAGACAAAAAAAGAGTGTTTCCTGTCGCTGTCTTTTTGGGATCCATTGATCTAGATATTGTTCGGGGTCCACAGTTTCTTATAATTATTTCTTAATAGTATTTCGCTCATGGTATTAGTTCATGGTGGCAGAAACATGCTAGTACGCTTCACTTTATGTCCCAGACCTCTGAGTTCATCCATGACAGATCCAACCAGACAGTGTCTATGGGCGTATATGTCACACGTGTGACCGACCGAACAGCTAGGTTCAAAACCATCGGGAGAACGAATCCTTCAAGCCTTTCAAAGGTACAAAACCAAAAACAGACCGAGGTGTCTCTAACATTAAACCCTTGCAGCTTCGCCGATTTATGACTTAACTTAATTTTGCATCTGGTGGGTGTTAGAAACAAATGGAAAATGTCACTGGCGCGACCTTTACTGTAGTAACTCTCCCGGAACGTTCTGAAGCCTCCTGTGCTTCACGGGTGGTTAGGTGTTGTGGAGTCGTACTTCAAGTTGCATGCGACTGCTTTTCCCAGGAGATAATCTAATACACCTGAAGGCAGGGACGACGAAAGACATTTTCACTAAGGTGTCTTTCAAATTAGCAAAGCTTTGCAACTGCGACATCGTCGCAAATTTCAGTCTTTGCAAAAAGCACTGGATCAACAAATTGGCATTGTCTGTGGCAGAAATGAGTTCCGGATCCTATGCATTCGTTGAATTCGAAGTCATCCTTAGGGATATGTTGTGTAATTTCAGTACTTATGGAAAGGCGTTGACGTTTATACACATTTAGGGGCTGACTCCCAAAGTCATTCTGTGCCAACATGTCTACAGGCGAATCTGTGCCAACATGTCTACTCTACTAGATCTGCTACATACGGACGGCATGGCTGATTGCTTTGAATCAGTGCCAAGCACCAAAGCCTCCTCTCCACTGGAGCAACGTTAACTGTTCAGCGACCAAAATTGGATTTGTGTGACCCTTGATGTTATAATTATGCGATGCGCAGTATGCAAAAGTATGATTTGAAAGACAAGTAAACACATAAGAAAACGTAAAAAAAATCGTCCTTTATATCCGTGAAATTCGTTGTGCATTCTGTCGGAAAGGGTGTGGAAACGTACAGGTTGTTGTTTTACATTTGTTGATATACCATATACTGAGATAGCGTTTCTTTGGAAACTGAACTTGAGTTAAGATTCAAAATACTAGTATTCAAGCAAGCTACTCATCGAACTAAGAATAGATCTGGTAAGAATATCACGTGGTAAAAGTTACCTAGCAGCAGTTCAAGTCTTCAAGACCATGTACGTAGCGAATCGTGGATTTAGAAAGAAACATCTACGCCATCTAATGAGAATCCTCAATCTTATACATGTATGTAGGCTAACAACATCATGATCTTCATTTAGTAGGCACTGTTTTGTTAGGTGAAAATGTTTGTTGACGAGGATTCTGTCCCAGATGTAGATAGATGTTTTCAGTGACTATGTGGTGACGTATGTATTACTTGTCTCTCATTTCAGCCTTTTTGGCGCCACAGATACCCATGGTACATGTCAGAAGTAGTGGAGATGAAATTATACCTTTTACCGGAGGGTGTGAAATGAAGCCTTCATGGACATCTCAAATCATAGACTTTGGAGTCTCTAGTCTCCTCTAGTTTCCTTACCACATTGTCGAGGACTGGCTGCTGAACAAATTTACACACATGTGTGGCCGCTACTGTGCCAGATGCCGTCCACTGGGCCTGATGTACTGTACGTTGCGTTATTTTTGTGCCCAACGAAAGATCAAGTGGACAAGTGATCCGTTATAAGCAGGAACGAATGAATCGTCATTCGCCACAACGTGCAACAGCATTCAAAACCCGGTCTGCTCTAATTTCTCTGACAATAAAACAATCATCAACTTTCTTGTTTTGCGATAAAGTCGATCATTATTCCTTAAAATTAATGATTTTTTGTATCATAAAGGTCATAGTCACAGACTAAACGTGTGATACAGCTGTCGTGAAAATTGTCCAATGGCTTGAACAATGTAACGGTCTTGCGGTCGTTGACCCAGGAATAAATGTTGAGAAGACTCTTTTCTAACGGTGACACCACCTTGTAGCAATAGTGCCGGACAAGTAGCCCCCGGACCGGCATGTTTATGTGATCAGCGGCACTAAAACTTGTCCGAAGGGGTTTGAGAGCTGTGGCTGTAAGACGAGCTCCGTAATTAGGCGTACGGAAATGGGTGTACAGTCTGGTGCGTGGGGAGGGCTACTCCAGTCAGTGTGCCAGATCTGCGGAACTCGTTGTCCTTCGTGACTTGTCGACTGTTTATCACTGTACTAAATGAGTCTGGACAAGCTTCATAAAAGTTTATATGTCTGTTCATTGGCCCTAATTTTTTTTAAGTTTCTTTTATCGTTTCTTTCGACCAGAAAGCTGACATGCGACAAGAAAATAATCGTTCTGGAATCAAAGAGCATAGTAAGAAAATTAACAAAAAAAAGTTACCGACAATCGGAAAGAAAAATACTTTCTTCACGATTCTTTGTTTTTCTGACCTTTCTTTATAGTTATTGTAACATACTAGATCTCATTTCAAAGCGCTTATCTTTCACTACAAACAGACGTGATGACAAAACGTAAGGATCATTTGGAAAGGTCAGTCTGGCATGAGTTGGGACGAGCTCACAGACAGAACTGATTCTTCGTGCCTGACGACATCTGTGCCGGATTTCCCCTCCAGACTAGCCTCCTTTTCAGGCGTTCCCGGAT